CTGGCCGCCTGCCTTTCCTTGGGTGGAGTAGGCTGTGTCTCTTAGTGACTGTCACAGGCCAGGGTGGTTGCAGCAGCAGCACTGTGGGCCCATGCGATGGTTCTGGCAGTGCTAGGTGTGGAGGGATGGTGTACTGCCTGAGGGTCATTTCCGGCAGAAGCTTCAGGGCCAGCCTGCAAGGATCGATGTGGCTGCCCTGAGAGGCTGACTTTGTTTCAGCTGCCAATGCCTGCTGCCCCCCGGGGGCTGAGCCTGCCCAATGTCCTCGATGGATGCCTGCAGACCTGGCCTCTTGGGCCAGAGTGAGCAAATCAGCGTGGAGCTGCTTGTGCCAAGCCCTCAATGTGAGAAAATGGGTAACAAACCCAGTGGAGGCTGTGGGGTGTGGACCCTCGGCACTGTGTCCCCACAAGTGCTGTCACCGAGGATGCGGCCAGACCCCAGCCTCACCTGCCAGGGCCGCTGCCACCCACATGGAGCACGCCATGGGCTTTCGGGGAGGCTGGCTTTGGTACTGATCCTGGAGCCAGCCAGGACCTTGTGGGGTTTCCCCTCCCACATGTTTCCCCCCCGTAGCTTTGCTGATCACACAAGCTTCGCCTGGTTCCTGAGTCCCCACTGCGATGACCTTTCCAGGATCAACCTGCTCCCTCTGTGGCTGGTCTTTAGATCTTGATAGGTGCAGCTGGGTGGGGTGGCTCCTGCCCGAGCCCCGTGGGTGCAGGAAGATTTGGGGGATTTCACAGGAGGGCATGTGGTATCTTGACTGCTGGATTGAGCAGCTGCAGACAATGAAACAGGACAGATCCTGCTGTCCGAGTACCGGGATCATGTGGCGGGTGGGGGACGATGACAGTGACCTGTGACCATGCGTGTCATGATGTCCCTGGAATTCTTGTCCTGTCCCAGAACCTCTCTTGGAAACTCAGGTGATGAGGAGGAAGGAAGAAGCAGGAACAGAACAAAAGCCCTTCTGCGACGAAGACTGGGTTTTCTCTAAGTGAGCAGAGAACTGAAATCCCTCCCGTGAGTCTCAAGGTCTCTGCAGGCCTGCCTGTGTTCTGGATGGCCTCCCCTGGATGGGAGGGGAACGGTGCTATCCAGTCCCTGGCTAGGACGGCCTTGTGGTGCGGTGGCTGTCGTTGACTTCATTGTTTTTAGGAGGTGAGGTCTTGCCTCCCCGTAGCTGGTGCTACAGCCCTGTGCTGCTGGGTCCCCCAGGACCACTTTGCAGGCTTCTGTCTGGGATCAAGAGACACGCGCTGTGACAGCCACGAGGAGTCTGAACTTGTGGCAGGTTAAATAACGGAGCCCGAAGCTGGCTCCGGGAAGCTGTGAGCTGCACATTCCCTTCTGGGGCCCAAGGTGCTCTGCAGATCGGACCCAGGGCTGTGGAGATGACCAGGAGCCTCCAGGGTCACCTGGAGGAACCTGAGTCACCAGGGCCCTTTGGGAGGCAGCGAGCTGGCAGGGGACTCAAGCTATGGTCACTGCAGAAGAAAACCCAGAAAAGGCCCAAGGGCCTGATGTCCCCAGAGCCTCCAGGGTTCTAGGACCTGGCCTCATCCACTGGAGCCCAGGTCAGCCTCTGCCTCCAGGGCAGCTGGGTGCCGCATTGGCCACTGTGTTTGGTCACCTCTTGGCTATGGAAACAGGGTTAAGACACGGTCTTTACTCTGAGACAGAGTCTCGCTATGTTGCTCCAGGCTGTCCCTGAACTCACTGGGTAGCCAAGGCTGGCCTCAGGCTCATGACAACCCTCCTGCTTCAGCCTTCCAAGTAGCCAGAGTGCAGGCATGCACCAGCATGCCCAGTTTAAACACGGATTTACTTCTGTTAGCCCCACTGATGGAGATTTCTCAGTTTTGCTGCTGCATTTATCCTAAAGGCTTGATGGCCATCTATGCTCACATTATACTGAGCTCTTTCTGATAATGCCTAAATTTGTGGGGAAAATGTGCCAGTGTCCTGGGGGCTGCAACTGTGCCTTAAACCAAGGACAGAAACAGGACAGAGTGGCTCCTCCATCCCTGCTCCCTCCCTGCCTTCTCTGCCGCCCCTGTGTCAGGGAAGGAAGATGGATGGGGGTTCTGCTGCTGCTGACCTGAGCCAGCATGGACAGAGGGGCCTCCGAGTGCTCGGAAACGAAGACTCATTGCTCCAGTCCTTGCAGTAAACATCCTGAGTGGCTTCCTCAAGCCTTAGAGGACAAGCAACAGAATGTTCTGTGCCTTCCACTTCCGGCAGCCAGGGTGGAGCTCAGCCAGGGGGCAGTGGGTGGCCAGCCAAGCAAGGACAAGCAGGCCCCACGGTGGGTGGGGGACCGGTTAGTGCGTGGCTTTGGCACTGGGGTTCCTGAGAGCTGGTGACGCAATTCCTCTTTCCGGGTCACGCGATCTTGGGTTGCCCCGAGTGTGGCTGGGCAGAGGGTGAGGTGACGCTGCTCCCTCCCACTCCCCCTTTTACCTGAGCCTGATCATCCAGGCTGCTGTGCCATCCTGGACTCCGATCCCAGAGCAGGGGTCCCCAGGAGCAGCTCTCCTGTGTAACCATGGAGTGGGCAGAAGCCCCCCCCCCACCTTCCTGGTTCTCCTGGCCTCTGTCTGAGAGGAGGGTGGTTTCCAGGGCACCCCCCCCTCCCTGCTGTGGTGCCTCAGTAACCTTGAAACTCACAGGGCTGTGCCCAGAGTCTATGCCCACTCCTCAGTTGCCCAGTCAGAATGATGGAGCAAAACACCCTTAGCTGCTGGACTGGGAAAGAGAATAAACATGAATACAATGTTGCACTGATGCCTGCCCCATGCACCCATTCACAGCTTCTGAAATACACGGCCTGTCATGTGATTAGGTGAGGCCCCTCATCTGCACCGTCCTCTAAGTGCCTGATCACAGAGATGCTTTTATTTATTTTTTTTGTGCTGAGAATTGAACTTAGGACCTTGCGCTTGCCAGGCAGGTGCTTTTGCTGCTGAGCTATACCCCTCAGTTGATGCTTTTGAAATTGGTGGGTGGATTCTAATTTTCATTCTCTTTTCCTTCCCTCCTTTTTCTTCTTTTTGGAGGCAGAGTCTGCTCTGTAGTTCAGGCTGGTCTTGAACTCAGCTTCCTAGTGCTGGGGTCACATGCGTGCAGAGCCAGCCCTGCAGACTGTGTTCAGGCTTCTAGCTACCTCTAACATGTTTCCTCAGATGCCTCTACTCCATCGAGTTTTGGCTTCTGAGAGTTTTACCTTCAGGGCCTACAGTGAGGGCAGGTGGCCTCTTTGGCTTGAGCCTTTTTAGGGATGTGAGCCTCATATTTCTCCATAAAGTTCCTGTCCCTGTCCTTTTGCCTTCTGAAGATTTGCGAATCCTGCAGTGTCCTCAGGTTCAAGAGGCGGATTTTAAGGAGCACGTTGAGGGGCAGAGGGAGTGCAGAGACCCGGCTGGAGCTGTGTGCAGAGCAGCCACGGGGACATCGGGGCTTCCAGCCAGCAGGGCGGTGGCAGCCTCAGGCTCGCCCGGCCTGGGATCTGTCCTCTCTTGAAGCCCACAACGCCACACGGCTGGGAGAGAAGAGCGAGTGGCACGTTTGCCCTGCTAGCAGGTTCAGGGTGGCTGAAAAATATGGTGGGTGTTAAGTAAACCGCAGCACAAGCCACCTGCTGCTCAGTCCTAACAGCCTCCGCCTGGCTTTGCACACTTTCCCACTCTGCTCTCCCCTTCCTGAGCAAGGTCCGGAAGCCCCCTTTCATGAGGGTCTTTCCTGGTGTGACGCTGCCGTGAGCACTGTCCCGTGGAAAGGCAGCTCGGAAAGCTGAACCCGCGTCCTCAGCCTCCTAGTGCATCAAGCTTGGCACCCGTGATGCTGGCTCTTCCCACAGCAAAACAAGCACAGCTGGGAAATGTTCTGAATCCATTTGGGACACACAGGCAACCATGGTGCTGCAGCTAAAGATGCTAAGCAGAGCAGGCCAGAGCCGCTTCAGGAGGAGGTGAGGCTGGGGTGCATGTGTCCATTTGGGGAGTGTTTTGAAGTGGTGTATGTATGGTGGTGTATCTTTTTCACTGCAATACTTTTTTTAAAAAATTAGACACCCTAGCATCTCCTGTGTCTGAGCACCCCCCTGCTCAGCCTCACTTCTCCTCTCCCGGCAGCAGCCCTGGGGTAGGGGGGACCCGAGTGACAATTGGGGACCACGTTCTGTCCAACACAAGCTGACAGCTCTCGACTACTGCAACCCTGCCAGCTTCAACTGCAAAGATGAAACGGAATTCAGAAACTTTGCTGTTTGTCTGGAGACCAGAAAATCAGACACTACAAGACTAAAGACGAAGGTAATTTAAGACACACGCTCAGCATCGACTGGGCCCAAGTTCTTTGGAAAGCGTCTCGGAGAGGCTGAACATCTTCTCAAGATCCAGGATCAGCGAGAAGCAGTGGCTGGCTCGTTGGCAAGTTGTTAGACTTGAAGATGGAGATGGTGCTGAAAATTAGGAGGCCTTAACCCCCACCTCGAGACTAACAGTGTAGAGCCATGGATCAGCACAGATGTAAATGATCCCGGTTTTAGGGCTGATCTCCTCCAGGTCAGTAGGACCCCTAACACAGAACGCAGTTGCTAATATCAAACAAAAGAGGATTTGCCTGCTGCTCTAGACACAGGGATGCCTGGTTTTGCTGCAGAAGACACAGTTCTTAATGAAGCTGCTCAGATTCTGTGATTGCTACCTACGGAAGAACTCAGCTACAGACAAAAAATTAGTGAAGCTGAAGTAGCTGCTGAGACAGTTATTGCTGCTCCAGAGCAGACCACAGCCTGGGAGAGCCGGAAGAGGGAACGTTAGACCTCAGCTCTCCCCTAGCCCCAGCACGGTCGGGGGCTGGACGCTTCTGACATGAGTTTGGAAATCAATCTCACTTTGGAGGGAGGAATCCAAGGAAATGGGCTGTGCTCTGGAAAGTTACCACCACGGAGACTTTGCCTCTTTAACAAAGTTTAAGAAAGTGAAAACAGAGTAGACACACACTGTTCACATCCCACATCCACATGTGACCTACAGACTTCTCCGTCAGAAGCAAAACTACTCAGATTCCACAGAGTGGAAGAAAAGGTCAGAAAGCCCAGCCCTCCCGTCACCTAAGCATGGAGAATCACCGCAGGCGGAGGAAACAGAAGCATCCGTGCCTCAACCGTCCTCCCACACGGGAGACCAGCTGTCCCTCTGGAGGACACCTCCATCTGCTTGGCCACCGGGGGGCCCAGGTCCACGCTGCCTGAGCGGCCCCCTGGCCAACGGCACCCAAGTTTGAATGAGTTTCATCAGCTCACAAAAAGCAGGGAAAGTTGCGCAGGATTTCCTGGCCGATCACTTCCCCGTGGGCGCTCACGCTTGCTTACGCCCCGGAGGAAAAGGTGTGTCCTCTGCAGCACAGCCCCAGCGGGCCAGCAGGAGGAGACGCTCGCTTGATCGCAGGCAGGCAGGAAGGTATAAATCTGGCCTGGCAGCTGTCCTGGCGGAGGAAGGGACAAAGGGCAAGAATCCTGCGCTGCAGGTAAGAGGTCAGGATGGAGGGAAAGGGAGGGAGAAGGAAGACAGAGGGAGAGAGGGAGAGGAAGAAAGAGGAGAGGAGAGAGAAACAGCAGGAGGGGGAGAGAGAAGGAGGGCAAGAGAGATAGAAAGAGGGAGGGACGGAGAGAGAGGGGTGCAGGGAGGAGAGGAGAGAAGAGAGGGACAGAGAGAGACAGAGAAGAAGAAAGAGAGAGACAGAGAGAGGGAGAGGCTCCTCTTCATTTACCTGTGTCAAGGTGACCTCAAGCATTCCTTGACCTCTCTGGGCCTCAGTTTCTCTGTCAGAGGGGTCCTAAGGGCCTCCTTCAGGCCTGGTCCAGGGGTGTGTAGGGACCCCCGGAATGGCGGGGTCCTTTCTAGTGTGGGTGTCATGCAGGGCAGGGTGAAGTGAATGCAGTGGTCATGTGTGCGCCCCGTGGCTGAGTGGCCAGGGTCAGAGTCCAGTGGCCTTGTCCTGATGGGTGGGTCACATTGTAAAATCCCCCTGGGGGACTGTGGTGTCCCCACTGGAGTGGAGTCCAAGTCACGCAGAGCCTGGCGCTGAACGGTGCCACAGTGGTCTCTCCTTCCTGCTTGGACCCTTTCCTGCTGAATCCCATTCTTTTTGGGGGTGCAGCCTCTTTTCCAGCCACTGCTCCCTAGGACTCCTCTACCCTTGCCCCCTGACGTGCTGGGGTCTTGATCATCTCTGTTTCCCTCTGGGTAAACTGAGGCAGTGATTGCCTGTTGTGGGCTGTGCCCTCTGCACCCTCCCCTCCCCCAGACCCTCATCTCTGTCCCTGCAAGGTGGAACATCACCTGTCCCAGTGCCCACCCAGCCAGCCCTGTTGCCTTTCATCAGATCGAGCTGCTGCCCTGCCCAGCTCTCTGAGAGGGAAGTAGAGGGGGCTGGGGTGCAGGACTGCAGGGAGGATGCCTGCCAGCGAGACATTTGGCCAGGTCCCTTGGGCTGTGCACCAGCATCCCGGCACCCCTAGGTGCCACCTCCTCCAAAGCCAAACAGGGCGAGGGACCTGGGTCAGAGCTGGCCCGCAGTGACCCCATGGTGGAGTGGGTGGATGCAGGCGCTCTGACTGGCGGTCCCCTGTGCTCTGCTGGGGACATCGACAGGCCCTTCTGCCAGTGCTTCCTGTACTTGGCCTGCCCAGAGCCAGCCCAGGGCCCTCAGAGCCCAGCCCGCGCCCCGAGGTTCTGGTGGCGGCTCCTGCTTTTCCCACCCACTGGCCCCATTTGGCAGCCACATCCTTAGCGAGCAGCACCTGCACAGTGCCAGTGTTCGGGGTCACCCAGGACCAGGCTTCCTGAGCTCCGGGCTGCTCCTCAATGTGTAGTTGGTCCCCTCAGCCGAGGTGGGCCTGGGAATCTGAATTTCTCACTAGGGTGGTTTCTGGTGTGGCCCAGGGTCTATCCCAGGAGCAAGGGGCTTTAGATTCAGGACAAGGTCTTCTCACCTGAGAACAAGAAGGAAATTAATATGCTTGTAATCTCAGCACTCAGGAGACTGAGGCAGAAGGATTGCCATGAGTTCAAGACCAGCCTAAAGACATAGTCTCAGAAAACCAAACAAAAATGAAGTTATAGCTAAGCTTTGGTGGCTTTCACATTTTCTAGACCTTGATGTTCTGTTTAGTGAGAGCCGTGGGCAGAGACCCAGGTTGACTCCCACTGAGTCATGCATTGTTAAGTTCTAGCCCTTCTAGGAGTGGGAACTTTGCACCTGGGGACAGCACTGCCATCTGGTGAGAAGCAGGTGGACAGGGCATAGGACCCTGCTGGCGGCCTTGGAGCTGAGGGAGCAGAAGACTGCTCTGCATGGGTATCTTGGGAGCCCCCCAAGGTTGCAGCAGCATGAGTCCCTGTGGCCTGTTGAGGGGAGGGTCGTGGGAACAGGGTGGCCTCTGGGACACGAGCATGGCCCCTGCAGAGAGGCAACAAGAACGTGGGCACCTCAACCCCCAGTCCTGCATTGTGTGAGCTTGGACCAGGACCCCGAGTGCCAGGGAGGACCTGGTGCCCCCGCTCCCCCACATCAGTCCTGGCTCTGCCCTGAGATGTCTTCGAGGCCCAGCCTGGATGCCAGCAGGGCCAGGATGCCAGGCTCGAGGTCCCCAGTTCCAGCCTTGGGTCTTAATCTTGATCACAGTGCAGGCCTGTCTGGTCATGTCATGTTGCAGGCCAGAGCTGGAGCAGTGCACACTTAGCATATGGCCAGGGCTTTTCTTTGTCTTTTTCTTTCTTTCTTTCTTTCTTTCTTTCTTTCTTTCTTTCTTTCTCTCTCTCTCTCTCTCTCTCTCTCTCTCTCTCTCTCTCTCTTTCTTTTTTTCTTTCTTTGAGACTGGCTCTTACTGTGCAGCTCAGGCTGACCTTGAACTCCCTAAAGAGCCCAGGTTGGCCTCGAACTCACAGTAGCTCTCCTGCCTCAGCCTCCAGAGTGCAGGGCTCACAGTTGTGCCTCTCTTCGCCAGCCCGCCAGCCCCTGTGCTGTCCTTGCTCATGCTGTATTGTCCTCTGCCAGCTGTGTCAGACTGTGATGGCCCTGCATGGCCACCCCAGGACCCAGGCCACTCTTAGAACGCCTTAAAGGCCATCTGCAGGGTCACACTGTGTGGACATTGGTGCAGTTCATTTTCTGAAGAAGCCACAGCAGGAGGGCAGTGACGTCCATCCCCAGTGGGTCAGCAGGGGTGGGAGCTGCACCAGGTCCCTGGTTACACAGTGTTCCCCAGAGCTGCAGCTCGGTGGGGGAGTGGGCAGCTGGACCTGGCTGCTGCTTCCTGTCCCAGGCCTGGCCTGGCTTCGTAAAACTGTGGGCCCTGAGGGTGAAAAGGACCAGCTGGCAGTGGATGTGAGAATCCTTGCAAGGAGGCTGCTGGACAGACAGACACCCTCTGGGCGTCCATGAGGGACAGACTGAGACTTTTCCGGGCATCCAGGCAGGTGCCAGCTGAGAGTGGCTGTGAGCCGAGAGGAGACACAATGCCTGAGAGTGGGAAGTGAGTTCCTCCTGTGCCTGTGGTCTCCTGGGGCTTCCTAGGTCTTTGAAAACCCCTGGATGTGGCCGCTCCAGCGCATAGGCAGGGCTTTCTGGCGGCGAAGGATTTCCCCCACGGGAGTTAAGCATTCTTCCTTTCTCAATGCTTTCTTCTCTTTGGTCCTTGCTTTCTTTCCTCATGGCTACTTTGGATTCGGGGCTCCAGGTGGCCGTAGCTGGTGCTACTGCCTTTGGGAACCCCTGGGGATCTCTGGGGCATCGTGTCCAGAGAGTGGGCCATCTCCCAAAGTGGGAGAAAAGCTCACCCATTCTGACAGCTTAGCAGCCTTGGAAGGAAATATTTTTAAAACAGACGTAGCATGTAAAAATGTCCCCTTGCTCCCCGCTTGTGCCTGTGCTCATTTGCCCAGTAGCAATCTTGGCTGCCTCCCAGGCTGATTTCCCCAGGGAGGGAATTTGCCGGCTATTGCTTGTCACCCTGTGTCAGTGGCTCAGTCTGCCTCCCTTGGATTCTCCTAGAAGCCCTCTGGGTGCTCGCTGGCCCCTCCTTCTGGTAGGAGGTTGTGGAAGACAGGGCAGGGAGGAGCTGTGTCCCCAGAGAAGGAGGGTGAGCGTGACCTGGGGACCTTGCCTGGTCTGGCACCCAGGGTGTGTGAGAGCCAGCGCTCAGCCCGCCGTCCTCTCTCTGCCCCTATGGGCTTCACACATCCTGTCTCATTCTTCTGGTCTTTCTTCCCTGGCTACGACTGCTCAGGTGGCATTGTGGGAGGCTCTGTGGGAGCTTGGGGAAGCCCAGCTGGTGAGGGTGGAGCTCAGGGCCTTGATGAGTGTATGTGGTTGCAACAGCACCCAGCCAGGCCATGCCGAACACCTCTTAGCCAACATGTGCATCATCATGACAGCCTCACCTCTGCCCAGGCCTCAGTTTACCTCCCACTCACCTGTGGATGCACAGGGGAGGTCTGGATCTCTCGACACTGATGCAGAACTGAGGGCATCAGAAAAGGGCCCCGAGCACTCCTGGACCAGCACGCACCCCGCTATCCCCATTGTCTCCAGCGCCCCCTCTTCCCAAGAAACTCGGAGGGGACAGGGCACAGGGCCGTCTGTGTCCAGGTTTCAGCCCAGAGTAGGAAGCAGGGCTGCTGACCACTTCCGTGCACGGCACCCTCCCTCCCTGCCCCGGGCCCCAGAGGGCCTCTGCGTCTCTGTCTCCCCACCAGCGAGGGTTTCCTCCACGTCGTCGTACACACTTCCTTCTCCCCTTTCTGAAAAGGTTTCACTCTTCCCCTTTCCTGGGGCCACGGTGGTAGAGCAGCAAAAAGGGAAACACACGAGAGGTAGTGAAAATATGGCCTTCAGAAAAAAGGTGAGGTTTGATGTCCAAGTTTTAAAAATGTTACCATAGAAAGAGATATATTGCTGTGAATTCTCCTCAGAATACTTCCCCTTGCCTCACACACACCCGTCCACTCCCAGAGCCCTCTCTCCTGAGCGTCTTCAGTCCGCTGTCCCGGCTGCCTTGATGTCCTGAATGGATTAAAAATGTTTCCCTTTCACGCTCGCTTTGACCTGGGGGAAGAGTTTGAAAACTTTGGTGCTAGATCCGGTAGATAAAGTGGACAAGGACACAGCATCCTGTTTAAGTGCTTTAAATTGATTCAGCGCATGGAGGTGGCCACGCCAGTGCCCCTGCAGACTCACGCAAGAGGAGCCCAAGCTTCTGCAGAAAGCAGCAAGGACTTGGGGGGCGTTTGAAGCCAGGGGAGGATTCTGAGGGGAGCTAAGGTGATGCGTCTTCTACTGGAATCAATCTTTGAGCTTTTTGTTTAAACACTCACACCCCGTGTTACTCACTGCCCTGTCTGATGGTGAAGGGATCGGAACCTTTTGCCTGTGCTTTCCAATCAGGGCAGACATTGGGGGCGTCACCGCTCTGTGCTGCGATACCTGATGCCCTGTGGGCGCAGTGAGGTGGTAGACGTGCAGTATCAGCTCCTCCGTGTCCCATGCGGCCCGGTCTTTCAGTCCTGGCATCTGTCCCCAAAGTCTTCCTGGTTCCGTGGTCCTGGGCCATCAGTGGCTGCCCTTTACAGTGCGGGCTTCCTTCTCCCAGCCCACCCTTGGCCTAATTTGCTGCCGTCAGTCTGCTGTGGGTTAAGTGCCTTCTGCACCTGCTGCTGCATGAAAGTTATGATAAACTTGTGGCCAGAATGACATTCATTGTATTATAATCCATGCGTGCTGTAGACCATGGAGCCTAGGAGAGATGCGCGATTCTTTGCCTAAGTTTCTGTGGTGGCCCTCAGGGAGTGGCCAGGTCCCCTGGGAGGCTCAGATGGCTTCACTCACGTGGCTCAGCCTTTGTGAATGCCTCCCTGGCACAAGAGTCTCAGCCCAGCCCCACTGTTTCCAGGAGGCCGGCTTCCCACAGAGGGAGCTCCCTGCGAAGGTGGGTGGTAGCCCCATTCTTCTAGCCCTGTCTGAGTCCTCACAGCATCATGCTGGCCATGTTCTGTGGGTCATAAACAGTGCCAGCCCACATTCCCAGGAGCTGAGCTGGACTCCAGGTCCTGGTGGCAGACAGGGACACTGCCGAGGACTGTGTGAGGTGGGAGACGCAGCCGTGGCCATCTGTGGGAGCCACAGTCTCCTGCTCTGGAAACCCAGCCCTGCCCAGACCCACAGAGGGGAACATCCAGACGTGAGTATTATTGTGCCCTGGGTAGGGACAGCCATTTGTTCGCTGATCTTTCTGTCCTTGCTGCTTCTGTCCACACTATGTCGGATGGGCAAGTTTTCCGGAGGACTAATTATGCAAAGATGCAAGTTATTTCTCCATTCACCTCCTAACAGGCTGTCAGCAGCGTTTGGTTTGGGGTGCACACCTGCTGTCAGTGCATCCCCAGCCCTGGCACCTATGAGCATCCTGCCCCTAATCCCAGTCATACAGGGGCACCTTCTGGAGCCCAGGGGCCTCTGGAGGCTGAACTGAGCTCACTATGCTGGTGGTGGGGCGTGAGCAGGAGAGCGGACTCAATCCAGCGTTTGTCTGATGAAGGTCCTGGTCCAATGCTTTAGCAACTGAAGCAGGATTGTGGCCTGAGCTCCAGCCCAGGCTGGCTTGGAACCCAAGGTGTTACATGCATGCATGCGTGCATGCATGCATCTGTGTGTTCTCAGGACGTGAGTTTACATGGTCCACATGCTTCTGTCATTTGCGCCTGTGCACTTGAATTTAGCAGCTGCGTTAGGCATCGCCACATGTGGACTCCGCTCAGTGACCAACGGAGAAGGTGCTGGCCTGCTCTCAGGCTGTGGACACCATCAGAGTCTGTCACATGCATGCACCACGCATCTGCCAGAGTGGAGCCCACTATTCTATGGGACGCACTCTGAACAGGAACCAGGCAGAACACAGGCAGCACTGTGTCCCGACCGAGTCCTCCATGACACGCTTGCCTGGTTCTGCCTCTGCCATAAGCCTTTGCCATTTGCTGCTTCTCGGCCAGCCCTGCTCCTAGCTCTTTCCACACCACACTGTCCCATTCTGCAGTGCCCCACATCCCGTCATTTCAAGGTGAGGATGCTGAGCCTCTCACAGGCCATGTCACCTGGCTGGAGGGACTGGGGTTCGCACTGTGCCCTTCTGCATAGACACCTCCCATTCAGGGCCACTGGAAGCACAACCCTCTCTCCCTGTCAGTGCAACCTGACCATGGCAGGAAGCTTAACAGGAGGCCAGTTTGGGATCTGGTTGGCCTGGAAGTTTTGGGTCATGGAAAGCTCCCCTCTGTGAGGGACACACTGGATAACCTGGGTGTTTGCTAGAAGATCGCCAAGATTAATTTAGATGTAAATACGTGTTTTCCTGTGGCTTCTGATGGCTTCACGGGACATGTGTAAACCGTGTGTGGGTTTTCAGGAATCTGCTGCATACAGTCAGTCACTAAGTACAGGCGGAGGCCCTGTCACCCATGAGCAGTGTTAACATTCAACACCTGCTTCTGTTTTGGTCTTGGAGTGACTGTCCCGCCTGGCGCAGAGCTGAGCCGGCTGCCTAAAACCTTCCGGGGACAGGTGAGGCTGGTTGTAAACAGGAGCTCATTCCTTGGGGGCATTCAAGCCTAATAAATGTTCTATAGAACAAAAGTTTTAATTTGTTCAGTTGCTTGAGCAACTGGAGCTATTGTTTGATGACTTGGTCTTAGTCTGTTAAAAAAATTTCCTAGATGAAGTGTTCAGGGGTGAAGTTTGATGATTTCTACAACTCTCAGGTGTGTAGAGGATGGATGGGGGAAGGAGCATAATGAACAATTTAGGGACCCTGGCATATTAACCACTTGGGGTAAAGCATGCAAGACCCTTTCTCCTAGCTGTCTTGGAATATACAGTACATCGTTGCTAACTACAGTCATCCTGTCGTGTACTTAGAACAGTCATGTGATTTCTCTTCTCTCTTGTAACTTTGTACTTGTTGGTTGATCTTTCCCTGTCTCTGACCTCTTCCCCTTGTGTGTCTGGTGACCACCATCTCACTCTTTCTTTCTAGGTGGTCAGTATGTTTCAGAATTCACACACAAGTGAGGTCATGCGGCATTTGTCTCTCTGAGTGTAGCATATTTTTTTTTTTTACAGATTTTTTTTCTTTTTTTCTCTTTTTATTGGTACGGAGGATTGAACTCATGACCGCCTGCTTGCAAGGCAGGTGCTTATGCCGCTGAGCTAAACCTCCAGCCCCCGAGTCTAGCATATTTTGAGTAACGTAATATCCCCCCATTGGAAATGACAAGATTTCATCTTTTTTGAATCGGCAGAAAAGTGTTCCATTGTGTATGTACACACTGTATATTCTTTATGCATCCATGGTTAGATACTTTGGTTGATTCCAAATCTTGGCTGGTGTGAATAATGCTGCAATAAACATTAGTGTGCAGATATTTCCTCAGGTACTGATTTCATTTCTCTTGGATATTTATTCAGAAGTGAGATTTTAAAGTATCTTTTCATGGATATTCTCTAAGAACATCGCATAATTCCACTACATTTCATTGGTCAAAATTGTGTCACATGACCACTCCTTGTTGCAAGGGAGGATGGGAACTGGTCTTTGTGTGGGTTAGCTATGTCCTAGTTGAGAGTCAGAAGTCCTATTACTGGGGTGGAAGAGGTTGGGAAAGGAAACTAGCAGCCTCTTCCATGGAAGTGTGTTTTTAAAGAGTGAGAACTTGGAATCAGAAGTCCTGCATATAAATGTCACTCCTGCTTTGTAGTGTGTGCTGTGGCATCCCTGGATTGCTGGAAATCAGAGAGCTGGCATATGCAGCTTCTCTGAGTTGAGTGTCAGGCCGAGCCTACACACCTCTGCCATCACTTCTGTGCATCACGTGTAACCCTGGCACGGCGTGTGAGATACGATACAGGAATATGTTCAGTGTCTGTCACAGGAGCGCTTCCTGTCACAGTCCTTTCCTCTCTTGCATCTTTGACTCCACTGCCTTATTCAAATACGTGATCTGGATTAGCCATGCCGCGTTCACTCCCCGATTCATTCACATCCTTGCTAGAAGCTCATGAGGTGTGGCCAGGCTGCTTCATGTGGGGACACGGACACAGGTGGGGGTCCAGCGTGGTGAAGCTGTTTCGGCTGATGCTGATGTGACTTTCCAGGGTGGGCTGGAGGTGAGGTTGTGGGAAATGTTTGTGCCTCAGAAGCACAGGAAGGAGAGAGACAAGTCCAGCAGGAAATGCTCCAGGAGACAGCACCAGGTCAAACACAGAGCTACGGGGAAAATTTGGTTCTTAGCTCCTTGTCGCTAGAAGGACCTGAGGTTGCGTCTCTGTTCCAGGTCACTGAGGGTCCGTACTGGTGAACATGGCCTTGGTACCGGCTGGGCACTGGACGACGCCCAGCCCTCTGGTTTACCTTGAATCATTCAGAAAGAAGCAGAGGTGGGTGGTGCTTCCGGCTTTGCTTTTTTCCAGATTCACGCACCTCTTTTTCTGTCCTACTGTCCTCTGGTGCTGACTGGGACCAAGCACTGTGTAGCCTGCGAGACCCGCGGAGAGATGGCCGAGGGCAGGAGGGGGAGCTGTTGACATACGCCTACTCCTCTGCCCTTCCGGGCGTGACCATCCTCCCCACCCCACTGATGGCAGGGTTCACCCCGGGACTTGCCATGGAATGTGGGGCAACAGTGCCAGCCGGCCCAGAGCCTGGCCTTGCAATCCTTTGCCACATGGTCTTCATTTTTGCCATTCCTTGAGGAGATCACTTCCCAGGAAGGAGGAAGACAGTCCAAGGAGGCAGGGAGACCCATGCTGCAGCCTTGGTTTCCTCCAGGGACCTGGATCCACGTCCAACCCGGCTGGTCTGGGTTCACCAACCTCCCTTTCTCTGTAAGCCCCAGAGCGGGAGCGCCTGCTTAGTGCTTTGCACCACCCCTCTCGGGGTGATTTGGGAAGGGGCACTGCTGGGGCTGCTTGGATCTTTCAGGCTCCGCTCTGAGCAGGAAGTGTCACTGTCACATCAACGGGGCCTTAGCTGACCCTTGATGCGGCAGCAGGGAAGAAGAAATGGACAGTAGAGCTGTCCTCTCTGCTCGAGTCCCCCTCTGGGCCTTCTTCCCTGCCAGCTGCTCGGGTCTGCACTGGGCAGGGCCACCTTCCCCTGAGCTGGGACATGGCTTGCACATGGTGTGGACACCTCTGTTCCTTGAAAGGGACACCAGGACCAGCTTTCCACAGAGCCAGAGCCAGGGATTCACCTGCCGGCTCTCCGTGACTGTCCCGATGCTGAACTCTCACACATCTGGATGCCCATTAGAATGCAGCTAAGCCTGGCACTGACTTTTAGGGACTTTTTGGGTACAGACTCATCAGACCTCCTGGGCCTCTGGTCCAGAATGAGGTGCTCGAGCAGGTCCTAGGAGCCCAGTAGATACCCAGGCACCACCCAAATTCTCCCAACACTGCGCTCCTCATTCACAGGCTGCTCCTGTGTGTCCACAGGGACTTAGGGACAGCTTCCAGCTTTCCGGCAGTGTCTGGCTAAGGAACCAGAGACGCTAAGAGATGGGACTCTGCTACCTGTTACTGACTCATTGACTGAGTGCTGCTTATCAGCGTTTGCAGGACAGCTGTGCTGAACAGCCGAGGAGCTGCCCTTCCCACATCAGGAGATTTCTGTGCCTCCAGGTCAGGGTCTTTGTCTACAGGAAGCAGTCGCAGACTTTGCCTTTTGCTGGCCAGGATTAAGGGAAGTGAAGATCTCCACGGGGCAGTGAAGGAAAGGCCCGATTTCCCAGCTGCGTTAAGCAGTCCAGGGGCCTTTTTTAAGGCGTGCAAAGGGACTTTCCTCAGATTAGAAAAACTTTCTTCCCAGCTTCCTTGAGAGCCAGCCAGGAATTTCACCCCACGCGCAGGCTCCCTCATCCAGAAGGAAGTGCTCGCCTCTCCGGGGTTTCTGCGTTGGCTTGAGCAGAGGAATGCAAGACAGAGGAGGCATGGGGGTTTCCTGTGAGTGGGGTCCCCGCCACCTAAGGTCGCACAGGTAAAGTCACGACCCGGGCTGATGGGGAAAGCTGTCATTTGTTCTGAGGGTTTCCATTTGTGGTGGTGGTGGTGCGGGGGAGGGATCTGAAAGTGTGAGGCCTTCCGCAGTTACCCAAAGAGCTCACTGACAAAGGCTTTCTATTGATCTAGTTTCTCACTCATGCATTCATTCATCAAACAAGGACTGGGGACAGAGCTGGAAAAAGTGAAGCAGGGTGTTCACATGTGTTTGATGATCCTGGAGGCTGTGGAGAACAGCAGAGTCAGAGGGCCACTGGGGGAGGCTGGAGTGGAGAGGTGCGAATCTTCCCGGACAGGCCAGACACAACCTCAGCAAGAAAGCCGTGTGGAGCCCAGGCTTGAGCAGGACAGGCCCAAGCCGTGGCGGCGGCGGGCAGAGGAGTGGGGGCACCAAGGCACAGTGCGGGACAGACTGCAGCTTTGGATATGAAGCCCCGTCCGCAGCAGCCCAGGGCTTCGGTGTCAGGTGTGCTGAGGAGCGCTGCACAAGTTCTGAGTTTTCTTTCCTTGTCAGTGCCTACTGATTTGCACAATACTGGGTGCACGATGTATTTTGCTTGCACTCGCTTCCGCTACCCTCCCTCGCATCCCTTTCTCCGTGGCTCTTGTCAGATATCTGTCTCCCTGCTGCTTCCCTGTCTTCTTTTTAAGATCCCGCCTGTCCCGGAGAACACATGGCTGCTCTCTCCGAGTCGCTCAGCAGGGCGACCTGCAGTTCCACCCAGTTTTCTGCACCGAGGGGTTCCCTGACTTGGCTGCTGCATGTCTGGGGGGCAGCAGGGCTGGGGGGGGGGGCAGGTGTCCTCAGAGCACGTGGCTTTGATTCCTTTACCCGTGTCCTAGGTGGCCCGCTAGCTGCACCATGTGGCAGCCTCCCCACTGATTCCCATGAGAGGGCACCAATTTCCATTCCGTCTAACAGTATACGGGGTGACCCCCTTCCCCTCAGCCAGCCTGGCCAGTGCTGACCGCTCTGTGCTTCGTGGTGATGGCCTGGGGTAAGCAGGAATCCATGCAGTTTGAATTTGCATTTCCTCACTGGTTAAAGACATTGAAACAAATTTTTTATAGTCTTACTGACCACTTGTAATACTTCTGATCAGTGTCTGTTCATTCATTTGGCTGTGGTCCATTGGGCTGCTTGATTTTCCGGTGCTAAGTTTTTTGAGTCCTCTGTGTGTTCTAGGTATGAGTCCTGCTGCTGGCAAAGCTTTTCTCCCATGCTGGAGCCAATTCTTCACGCTGTGTGTTTGCTTGTTTGCTGTTATGATGCAGAGGCTTTCTCATCTGACGGAGCTGTGGATTCTTGCTATTATTTATTGTGCGACTGGAGTCCTATGTGGGACTGTGGTGTCCCTTATGCTTTCTTCTGGCGGCATCAGAGTTTCAAGTCTTATACGCAGGCCTTCAATCCGCTTCCAGTTGATTGTTTTTGTACAGAGGGAGAGAGAGGGCTGCCAGTCTTCTACATACGGACACCTAGATTTTCCAGTATCGACGGATAAAGAGGCGTCTTTTTCTGATGTATGCTTCTGGCTTCTCAGCCCAGACCCAGATGGCTGTAGCTGAACGGCTTGGTTTCTGTGTCCTCTATTCTGTTCCAGGCATGTGCGTCTACCTTTGTGTAGCATGTGCCAGTTTTGTTACTGTGGCTTTGTAGATTTACATAAAACCTGGTGTCCTGATGCCTCCAGCCTTACTCTTTTGGCTTAGGATTTCTTTGGCTGGCCCGTGTCTTTTCTGTTTCCAAATGAATTTTGGAATTTTTTTTTTTCGAGCTCTGGTGAACTAGAATGGAATGGTGGAGGTTTCATTGAATCTGTAGATCGCTTTGATAATATGATTATTTTACAATATTAATTCTGCCAATCCATGAGCATACAAGGTCTTTTTTGTATCTTTCAGTGGCCTTTTTAATTTTCTTCAATATTTTATAATTTTCAAGCTGGCCATGATGGCACATACCTGTAATTCTAGCACTTGTGGGGGCTGAGACAAGAGGATCACTTCGAGTTTGAGGCCAGCCAGGGCTACAAAGTGAGTTTAAGGACAGCCTGAACTGCGTAGTGAGACCTTGTTTCAAAAAGACAAAAAACTTGCCTGGTAAGTTCGAGGTTGTGAATTTGATCCCTGGTACCAAAACAAACAAACAAACTAACTAGCAAAACAAAACTCATCGAAATATTTTGTAATTTTCACTGTAGAGGATTTGCACTTCTTTGGTTAGGTTGATTCCCAAGTATTTTACTTTTGTTTCTGAAGTTACTGTGCATATGTTGTTTTCTTGGTTTCTTTTTCAACTAGTTCATTGTTTGTGTACGGAAAAGGTATTGATTTTATAATACTGATTTTATATCTTGCTACTTTGCTGAATTTATCTGCTCTAAAAGTCTCTTGTGCAGTCTTTAGGGTCTTCTAGCATAGGATCATTCCATCTGCAAATAAGGATAATTTCTTTGTTTCTTTCTTTCCGTTTCTATCCCTTTTATTTCTTTCTCTTGATTAATTGCTCTAGTTAAAATTGCAGGTACTATGCGGAATAGAGGAGGCATTTTTAGTGTTTCCCCACTTTGAATGCTTTTGGCTGTGGGTTTGTTGTTTATAGCGTTGCTATGTAGCAAGATGGCCCTTCCATGCCTAGCTTCTTTAGAGCTTTGATGAAAGGATGTTGAATTTTGTTGAAGACTTTCTGTGTCAGTTGAGATGATTGTGTGATTTTTATCCTTGATTCTGTTTATGTGGTGAATTTGTTTATTGATCAGTGTACAGTAAACTCTCCTGGTGTCTCTGGAGTGAAATCAGCTTGATCATAGTGATGATCTTTTTAATGTGTTGTTGGATTTATATGTGAGTATTTTATTAAGAATTTTTGCAACGTGTTCATCAAAGATACTGGTGCATAGCTTTCTTTTTATGTTGTGTCCTTGTCTGGTTCAGGTATCAGGGTGATGTTGGTTTCATAGAATGATTTTGAAAGTATTTCTTCCCTTTCTATTTTAAGGAAGAGCTTAAAGACACTGGGTCAGTTCTTCTTTAAAGGTCTGGTAAAATTTAGTAGAGCAGCTGGTCAGTCCTGGGCTTTTCTTTGTTATGAGGCTTTATTACTGCTTCCATCCTATTGCTTGTTATTATTCTGTTTAGGTTTTTTTAAAATGTCCACATGGTTCAATTTTGGTAAGTCACATATATCTAAACATTTATCTGTTTCTTTTAGATTCTTCAATTTATCAGAACATAAGTTATTAAAATAGTACCTAATGAATCTCTGGATATCAGTAGTATGTGTAACAACTTTTCATTTTTGATTGTTTTGATTTGGGATCGTCTCTTTCTTTTGTTTAGTTTGGCTAAAGCTTTATCAATCTTGTTTATTCTTTCAAAGAACCAACTCTTCTTTCGTTGGTCTGTGTGTTGTTCTTCTAGTCTCTATTTCCTTAAGTTTACTGTGATTTTTATTGTATCTTTCCTGCTGTTAGGTTTGGCTTTGGTTTATTCTATTTTTATAAGATCTAGTGATACATAGTTATATTATTTGTTTGGAATTTCTCCGAGTTTTGGATGTAGGAGCTCAAAGCTGGAGTCTTCCCCCTTAGCATTTAGAGATAATGGTATGTTGGGCTTCTATTTTCATCTGGTTCTAGTAATTTTAAAATTTCCCCCTGATTTATTCAATGACCCACTGATCTTCCAAAAGTGAGTTGTTTTACCTGTATGCATTTGTATGGTTTCTGTAGTTTCCTTGTTGATTTCTAGTGTTGTGTCATTATGATCTGATAAGATACAAAACACTGCTTCAGTTTCTTATATTTGTTAAGACTTGCTTGGTGACCTAAAATATGATCAGTACTCTATAGTTGAATGCAATATTCTGTAGACATCTGTTAAGTCTATTTGATCAATGGTGTGACTGAACTCTTCTGTTTGTCAATTTTCTTGGACGACTCACCTACTGGTGAGAGCATGCGTGCGTCCCTGTGTGTCCAATGATGCTTGTTTTATGAAGTTTGGTATACTGATGTCTGACATGTATACATTTACCCTTGTAATATGTACTTGGTGTACTGTTCCCTTTCCAACACATAGTGGAATTGTCTCCTCTGATTTGCTTTTGAAGTCTGCTCTGTTGGATACATGCATAGCTATTTCTGCTTGCTTTCTGGTTTCATTTTTGTGGACACTGCTTTCCATTCTTTCACTTTCAGTCTCTGTGTATCTTTGTTCATAGGTGTGTTTTTTTTGGCAGGCATCAAATAGTTGGGTCTTAGTTTTAATCCAATCTTCTACTCTGTGTCGGTCTGTCTGTTTATTTATTGAGACAAGGTCTTGCTATATAGTTCAGGCTGCCCTTGAACTCATGGTGATTCTCCTGCAGCAGCCTCCTGAGTGCTGGGATTATAGGTATGCTCCATCATTCCTGACTCAGTCTGTGTGTTTTGAGAATTAAAGCCATTTATAACCAAAATTATAGAAGGTTTTGTATGAACTTGTGCCGTTTGTTGTTTGTCTAATGTGTGATTCTCCCTAAATTCTCCAGAGCTTATCTGTGCCTCCGCTCCTGCTTGTCAGGTTCCTTTCGGTCTCTGCTGCAGTGCACGTGGTCATGGATTCCTGTAGATCATGGTCATCTTCAAGCTCTTCCTTTCTCTTTCAGTTCTGAAGGGTGGATTTGCGGGACACAGCACTCTAGGCTGGCAGTTAGCTCCTTCCTGGACTTCAGGTCTTATGAGGAGAGGTCTGCAGTTCTTCTGCTGGATCTGCCTCTATAAGTGACGTGGCGTTTTCTGCCAGGCTTTCAATATTCTTCCCTGGTTCTGTACTTCTGACATTTTAACTACAATGTGACACGGGGAGGCTCTTTTCTTGTCGTGCCTTCTTGGGCTCTAAATGACTCAGGTACCTACATGTCATCAGCTCTTTCCCCTATTTGGAACATCATTGACCAGACTTTCCTGGCCATTAGTTTGAACCTAAAGCACTCTCTGTACCTCAGTAATTTGTAAGTTTGGCTCTTCACTGTGTCCCATAGTTCTTAGCTGTTTGGTCCATAATTTATTGTTTTTTCTTTATGTGTTTGAGCGTGGTCATTTATTGACTTTATTTTCAAGTCCTGAAATTCTGTCTTTTGCCCCGTCCCATTGGCGAGGGTTCCCACTGAGTTGCTGATTTGACTCCTGTGCTTCCCATTTCCAAGATTTCTCTTTGGTTCTTCTTCAGATCCGCTGTCTCCTTGCTGACTTGCCTCTTCAGAACCCACATTGTCTTCTTTAATTCTTTCAGCTGTTTATTCATATTTCCTTTGAACTCATTAATCATTTTGAAAACAAAGAGAAAGCAAGTGAGCCCCCAAATTCCCTCACACAAAGAAAGGATTGGGTAGAGGGATTCTAATTTGGGGCCTACCAAGACCTGTGGTGTTGGGGTCCTGATGATGCAGAACCTCCAAGTGACATAGGGAAGTATGATAGCTCCCAACCTGTTAGATGCCCAGTGCACTGAGTTTGTGGTCCCCCAAATCGAAGAGTGAATTCTGAGGAACCACAGAGGTTATGAGTGGAACATTTTATTGAGGAGACAGCTCTTGCCCGAGAGAGACAGGGGGGTCCCAGAGGGTGGGTTATCTTCAAGTCCACTTCTCAGAGGAAGTTTTATAGAGCAAAATCACAGGATGTTTACAAAATCACAGGGTGGGCACAAGGTGGACCACAGCTGTGGCCAGCCAGTAAGATTATAATTACTCCCTCAAGCAGTGTTGATCCAGTGGGGAAGCAGGTCACAAAGCAGTGTGCGTGGAACGAAAAAGGACCTTTTTTTGGATAGCAGAGGTCAGGAGGTCCTGGTCCCCAGACCTGATAACAGATGCATATTTAGAGTGTTGGTCATCGTTGCTTATCTCCCGGGAGGCATAAAGGTGTAGCCCTTCTACCTGTATCTTGAGGCCTGGCTTTCACCAAACACGCCTGCAGCCACACCTGTTAGGTGCTTTTATCTTCTGCACTGACTCCTTCAAAGAGGGCTGAGCCCTGCACCACTTCCTGTAACATTTCTGCCTAACTTAGTTAACTCTTAACTACCTAACTTTGAAGCTACTGTCTTTTGTTTTGCTCTTTATCTATATTTTATTTCTCTAACTTTATTTTTTTGTACTGGGGATCGAACTTACAACCTTGTGCTTGCCAGGCAGGCGCTTAGGATGCTGAGTTAAATCCCCAGCCTAACTTTGTTTCTCACAAAAGAGAAACCATGCGATACTTACGCTTGTGTGTCTGATTAGTTCAGTCAGGGACAGGGGACGGTGAGCCACATCTGGGCCTGTTTGTGCCCACACCCACATGGCAGCTGCTGCTGTGTGAATGTAGAATCATGGGCAGGGCCAGCCAGGGATGTGCCGTTGGCCTCTGGGTGCTCTAGAACTTCTGGTGTTAGTATCCTGTGCGGCTGGAAGCACTGCTGTTCTCCACCAGCACTGTGACCTGGGGGCTCTGGGGTGCCCCACTTGTTCCAGAGCCTCTGTGTGTGCACTCCATGGAGGTGCTGAATGTCCCAGCAGAGTGCTCCTGCTGGCAGGCAGGGAAAGCCAACACTCGCCTCGAAATCCACAGGGCTCGAACCCTGTGTTTCAGAACCAGCTGCTCCAGAAACCCAGCCAGGGGGGCCTGGGCTCTCACCACAATGGGCGCTGCTGCCTGCTGCTGAGCCTTGCACAGCCTGAGCTCCCGGGCCGCTTGAGTGTCTTAGGTCTGTGACCAGTGCTCCCTCCCCTGACATTTGTGCATGGCTGTCTCCTGCTCAGTACTGGCAGGGGGGCCCAGGCACTCTGAGCTGCCGAGCGAGCACTGTCTCCTCCTCCAGCAGGACACCAGACTCCTGCTCCTTCCCGTGTGACCTGGAAGTTACTGGGAGCAGTGTTCATCCTGTCTGACTGAACTGTGTGTGTGTGTGTGGGGGTGGTGGTGGTGTCTGTGACTTCTGGTCCCCACAGTGGCTCAGTCTCCAGCAAGAAGCCCTTTCTCAAATGGACACCTGGTCGACCCCTCTGAGCCTTGCTGGGTACCCTTGTGGATTCCTCCTCCCAAGCGAGGTGGCCACGTAGGAGAAGTTGCTTCCAGAGTTAGAGCTCATGCTAGATCTGCAGCTGACTCTGCCAGGGCCAGCACAGTCGCCTGCTGTTTGTCCCTAGGGCTGCTGGCCTTCTCCAGGCCTTCTCTGGTGCTTGCCAAGTAGGGGTCCCCTGCCATCTTGACCCCTTCCTTTTTTGCTCTGCTTTGTTAGATCCTTCTTGAGTTTTGTTATTTATTTTTAAAATGTTTTTATTAGTACATGTTTGCAATGCATTCCCTGGGTAGAGTCAGTGCACACACACAGTGCATCCTAATTCCTTCTGTCACCCCCACTGCTCCCCCTCCATCTCTTGATCCCTTCCCCTTGGAGAAAGCTGTGTGTCCCTCCTTCCCATTATCTAGCCTTTATCTGCACTTTGGTTTGCTCACATAAGAAAAGCCATGAGATATTTGAGCTTGTGTGTCTGGTTTATTTCAGTCGGCATCAAGGTCTCAAGGTGCATCTGTTTCTCTAAAAATGACTCGTGTGTCTTTCTTCTGGCAGAGTAATGCTCCATACTGTGAAAATAACACATTTATTTACCCATTCATCTGTTGATAAGCTGCTTCCAAGATTTAGTTATTGTGAGTTCTACTGCTATCAATGTGGGTGTGCGTGGGTCGCTGTAATGTGATGTCTTTCACTCTGTCAGGAAGAATTTGGAAAGGAGTAGCCAGGGCCAAGTGGAATTTCTAGCTTTAGTTTCCTTATTTACAAAAGTGCTAAGAACAGAGTGCCTCTGTTTATCAGGTGAGGTTTCAGGAGCCTGATCCTCGTGCTATTGTCAAGGGGATCCCCCTGGGGGTCAAGGCCCCTGCTGAACTCTATCGACTCCTCTAGGGTACAGCCCGCTGCACGTCAGATGGCCACTTCCTATTTCCCCCTGAAGCTGTCAGAAGCGATGTTGGTCCTGTGCGTGTTGATAGTGGGTGTTTCTGCCTTCACCCCTCCACCCAAGGAGCACACAGGTAAGTGGCAAAGGATGGAGAAGACAGTTGGCCAGAGAGCTTCCCTTGTCAAGACTGAGATGCGGCTGCCCAGGCCTCGGGGAGCTGCTTTGGCACATGCTGGTCCTTGCTCACCCAGCAAACAGAACCTTGGGATTAGCTATGTACCCTGTCAGAACTAAGCTTTTCTGTCTGAGCTTAGCCGGGATCCACTTTCAAGGTCAGTAAATCAAAAAAAAAAAAAAAAAAAAAAAATCCCTTCTTCCTGGTCACCTGTGAAGCTAATTGAATGCTTTGCACCGAGTATACTCTGGATTGACAGTCGTCCCGAATTTGTCATTCGGAAACGTTTGAACTGCTGAAAAAACAGAACTCGACAACAGGACTGCAGGGCTCCTGGAGCAGTGCCTCTGGGTGCCCCCAGGTGCAGGTCACTCTGTCTGGAACGCTGGCGTCTTCCGCCACTGCTCCATGTCACTCTTCAAGGCCAGGCTCAGCTGAGGCCTGGGTTGTCTTGGGGATCTGTGCAGGTTTGGGACCCGCGGCCTGACACTCAGCTCTCTGTCTTCCAGAGACTGCAAGCAACTGCTCATTTCTTGGCAAGGAATACAAAGCAGAGTTCAGGCTGGTGGGCGAGCCCGTGGTCCTGACGTGCCCCCTGATTTGGTCCCTGACACTAGCCGGGGCCAGTGTCAGCCCCCAGCACCCCTTCACCTGGTATAAGAATGGCTCTGCTCAGCTGATCTCAGAAGAGCCCAGGATGCAGCTCAGGGAGAGCGCCCTCTGGATTCTGCAAGCCATGCGGGAAGACTCGGGCACCTACATCTGCAGGGTCAGGTGGGCCCCTGGGGTGCGGGCGGGAGGGCTGCAGGCGGGTGGATGCTTGCCATGCTTTCAGCAATGGCCCAGATTTCAGACTCTGGTGCACAGACGAGAATCTCGTCATGAAGCCTTCCAGAGCCTAGAGGTTCTCCTGGCCTCCTCCTCCTCCTCCTCTTCCTCCTTGGGTAGTCTCTTCTCAGCATCACCTTTTCTGCGTGCAGGTCCCCATGGGCCTCTGCTTCCCTGCTGTTCCTTGCTAACAGTGTCTTCCCCTTGGACACATCTGTGTGTTCCTGGGGTCAGCATCCGTCTACACCGAGGCCTTCTTCACTGTGTGATGATACAAAAGACGGACCTAGAATCTCGAGCAGGGTTTCAGAGCTGGGTGGGATGTTAGGAATAAATCAATCCGGCTGCTCACTGCACAAGTGAGGGAACCAGAAAGTCCCCTGGTGCTGATACCAAAGACCAAGATGCTTTGTTCTTGTTCTACTGCTTTTTAGAAAAAACTTTGGTAAAATTCACATTTACCAGCGTAACCGTTTTCAAGTGTACAGCTCAGGGGCACTGTGTTCCTTCACACTGCTTTACTCTGGGGTGTCTCCACCTTCCTGGGCTGAGATTCTGTCTCCATTAGCCCACAGCTACTGTGGTCACCTCCTATCCTCCAACAGAGACCCATTCTGCCCTCCATCTCTGTGAAACCGAACCCTAACCCTAATCCTAACCCTGCTGGGCTTCTAACCTTGAGCTGACCTCTTAGTAGCTACACAGACTTGGGAAATTCTTTCAGTTCGAAACTGATTCCCTTCATCTGAAAATGCTGTGATAATAATCCCCCCCCCCCAGGGTTGGAGAAGGAATGGAATGAAACATGCGAAGCCCCTGACTCAGGCTCTGGCAGGCCCCAAACTTCCCTTACCTTGTAGCCTCCGGGATTATATTTTAAACATGCACAGTTCTTAGTAAAATTTGTCCTGCTTGCATTTCTTCAACTTGTAGTGAGATAATGCACTTTGAGGGTGAAAGTTACCTTTCTGCATTTCTTTGTGCATAAAATATTTGTGTGTCCATTATATTTTGAAATTTAGGTATGAAATATAACACTGATATTGGCCATCCGTATTTGAATTCATTCTTTTTTAATTCCAGGTAGTAACTTTAGTCACATCTCTTTCACATCTGGTCTCTTCTTTGGATGTGTGTTGTTGCATATTTATATATTTTGCTGTGCAAGTTGATTATTACCCCGTGAGAAAACTCACCGGCCTTGTCTCTTCCTGTGTCCAGGCTGTGGTCAGCATAGTTACATTGTGGTTTTTCTACCCCATTTCATTTTATCTTTTGGGTGCTGGCCATGTCACACAGGCCTTGGGGCACGCTAAGTGTGCTCTGGGACCTATGTCTCAGCCCCTGGCTGCTTTAAACATTAGTTTTAAGTCTGCTTTCTGCCTGTGCACCCATTTCCGCCCTATCATCAGCGAGGCTGGGTCTCTGCCATCCACCGCTCTGGCATCTCACAGAATCATGGTTCTCAGATGATGAGCCGGCCGAGGAGGAAATTTAAAAGTGAAACAAGGCTTCCAAGTTACTTTCCCCGCACGGCTTTGCAGAAATCTTTTAAACGTCGCTTGCCTAGTTCCCAGCAGCGTTGACGTCAGTTGATGAATGATCCCTAAGGGAAGCAAAGGGACTTGTCCTGTTGAGGGAGCGATCTCTCTACTTGGATGTGGCTCTTGATACCAGGACACTGAAGTGTGTTGGGGCTGGGATCAAAAGCTCAGACCCTGGAGGGTTTAAGCCCTTGGAAGAGGACACAGGATTTCTTGGCGGCCCTTGCTGGCCATGACGGGGCTCTAGTGGGAAGCTCACAGCATTTGTGAGGTGACGCTTCTGTAAGCTAAGGGCTTAAGGGGAACACGGTGCCACCAAAGAAACAGGCACAGAACCATAACGGCGTGGGGATGATTCCTGACATCGCTTCTGAGCTGCCTTGCATTTATCACCTCTCTTCCCCTTAAATCAGCAATGCCACACACTGTGATGAAATGTCCATCGAGCTCAAGGTTTTCACGGAGGCAGAAGCTCCCCTGTCCCTCATCACGTACCTGCAGACACTCTTCCTGGGGGATGACGGCATGCTCATGTGCCCGGACACGCACGACTTTGCCCAGGACCAAGCCAGCCCGAGCATCCGGTGGTACAAGGTGCGTTTTCCAGAAAGGGCTAAGGCTGGCCGTAGAAGGGCGGAGGGTGCTCATTTCTGAAGACAGTGCCTTCTCTTTATCTCTATGATGCACACATGCGTGACACAGTTGACAAGGCCACAGGAAGGGCTCCTACCTGTCCTGATGACCCTGGGCTGGGGAGGCTCCCTCACAACAGTGATTAGGAATGCAGAGAGGAACTTACAGCTGGAGAAAATAGCTTTTTACTCTGTAATTTGTTTATAAAAATTTAGAAAACAATGGTTCATTTATATAAGGAATTTATATACATTTAAACAGTGTTTACAAATACACATGTCAAAGCCAGGACGCCTTGGGTGAAAGGAATAAATAGAAACACAGTTTGTTTTTTTTCTCAGTTAAGTAAATATTGAGTTAAGAGCCATTTTAATGATCCTTAGTCACTAGCAGCATTTTTAGTATACAAGTTAAGGACGGTTGTTACTCTTTAGAAAATTCCTGTAGCTGGGGGCAGTGGTGCAGGCCTATAATCCCAGCACTTGGGAAGCTGAGGCAGGAGGATCACTGTGAGTTGGAGGCCAGGCTGGGCTACAAAATGGGTTTAAGACCAGCCTGAACCATATAATGAAACCGTCCCCCCCCCCAAAAAAAAATTAAAAATAGTACTAAGATCAAAACAAACAAACAAAAAAACTTAAAAGGTTTTTCTTCTGATTTTTTTCATATGTTTTATGACATGTGACACCTAAATTTCAGTGTCCCTGTTTTCCTGGAACACAGACACCCACATCTATTTATGCACTGTGTAGATGTGACAGAGACGTCTGGACTGTAATGAGGTGCCCAACATATTTCCTATCTGGCTTTTTCTTGACAATATTGGCCAACCACTGAGGCTGACCACAGAGCGACACTGAGCAGTGTGGCTCTGTGTGATCCCTGATAGGAACCAGCGCTCAGTGGTTCGTCATGACTGGCATTGGGAACACAGGCTGTGCACAGGGTGCTGATTTCCTGCGGGGGCTTGGAGATGGTTTTCTGAAGCGGAGGAAGGTAGCTGGCCCCCACAAAGGCCTGGGCAGCAGTAGAGTCCTTTTCTCGGGACTTAGGAGGAGCAAACAGAGGACGTGTGACAGGTTTTATGGGACAGGAAAGAGCACAGATCTGAGTCGGGGGCCTGGGCTTAGAAACCTCCATTTAGTTAGAGCCCAGTTCTCTGCCCTCCTGCCCTGGGCTGTCTGGAAGGGTGAACGGAGAGATGTGTGCAAGGCGGCTGGCCCAGACCTCAGCGTACACCTGGTGCCTGACGAACAGGTGGAGGAGATGGTGATGGCGCTTGGCACTACTGGTTCTCTCCATCGAAGCTAAGCTGTTCCAAAAGGAGCTGAGGCCAAGCCTGTTCTAACCTCCCCAGCCGTCAGCCTTACTGTCGCTACCCCCACTTCACAGAAGAAATGGCAGGAAATGCGGGGAGCCCACCCAGGGCCACACAGGCCCTGCCTCGCATCTCTGGAACAGCTGTGGCGCTGGATCCTGGGTCCCTGTGGATGATTCCTGCTGGGAGCAGTGGCATCTCTCCTTCTAACTCAATGTATTATAATATGGAGCGCCACCGGCCCTCTGCTGGCCATTTGGGTCTTTTTCCTGTGTAAGATTCTGAAATGACTCAGTGGTATATTTGACTATTTTGAGCTTTCAGCCATCACAGCTACAGATTAGATCCCCTGGGATCTTCTCTATCCCATCCCTCGTCTCCTGTTTTACGAGGGGCATTTGCTTTTGAGGGTTAAACTCTGCAGGGGACCCACAGAACTCATCTCTCACCTCTCCCATTCAGATTTTGTCTTAGAAATTTTTCTCTATTGGACTCTTAAAATCGAAATGATCTGAATACTGGTATCCAAGTCAAGATGACTATTTAGCAGTAGATCTTCGCTACTTCTCAAGGCCAGCAGGAGCAGTTAATCCATAAATATATCTGGGGTTCTTTTGATGCTGGAAATCGAACTCACCATCTTGCACTTACCATGTAGGTGCTGTGCCGCTGAGCCGTCTTCGTGGCCTATATCTGCATTTTAAATAGCCCATTTTGCTATTTGATCAGCTAGTATTTTTCCATAGCAGGCTGGACAAATCTAGACATCTTACTGGTTTTGCACATTAACAAGTTCCTTTTCCTAAAACGCAATCCAAAGTGTGCTCGGCGTGCAAAACTGGCACAGGACATACCAGGGCAGCTTCTGGCCACGTATCCACATTGGCTGACGGTGACTGTGATGCGATCAAGGCTCCGCGGTGTGTGCTGGTAACAGTGGAACTCCTGTTTCCCCGCAGGGCTCTGTCCTTCTGGGTGAGGACGGCGGGAGGTTTCGCAACGTGGAGGAACTGAGGCGCTTGCTCATAGTCAGCCCCTCCTTGGAGGATGAGGGCTTGTACAAGTGCATCCTGACCTTCGTGCACGAGGGCAGGCGGTACAATGTCACTCGGCAGGTCCGACTCCGCATCCGCGGTGAGTACCACATGGCCCGGCTCCACACTGAGCCTTCTAAGAGCAACCGGGTGGCGGAAGAGTCCTTGAATGGACTTGGGAGGAAAGGCGACAGGCCCCTAAGCTGGCCAGATGTGGGGTGGCTCTGCGAAAAGCAGAAATCAGGGCGTGGTGGTGGGGGAAGTGCAGTGAATCCTTGCCCGGGTGATGGGTTCTAAAGTCGAGGCTGAAAGAGGGAGCCTCCAGAGTGGGGCTGGTCAGAACACAGCTCTGTGAAGAGCTCCAGGCTGCTAGGACTTTATTCAGTTCTCCATCTGGGAGAATTTCCACTGGGAATCACCTGCTCTTTGTTTTCTCTGGAATGTGTCTAGTTGCCCCTGAGGCAGGTTGAAAACCCCTTATCTGAAAGGTCTGATACAAGAAGTATTTTAGGGTTTGGATTTTTTCCCCCAGATTTCATAATGCTAGCATATACATAACCATAGAGCTTGAAGATTAGATACAAATCCAAACATGAAATTAACTCAGGTCTCACGTCCACAGAGCCGGGAGGTAATTTTATCCAACATTTTAGTCTGCACTGAGCATTTTGGAACAATTCAGATTTCAGAATTTTGGATTAGGGATGCTCAGCCATGACCAGGATTGATTTGACCTAAGAACACTGTTGTGCATGGGTGTGCTCTGTATTCCTGGGTGCTGGCCCTGGGGTCCGGTGCGTGGGAATGGATGTGTGTGAGCTGTGGGCTCTGTATGTTTCTGACACACTTAGTCTTGAAGGGGCTCTCAGAGAGCTGTGCAAACCTGGTCAGATTAAAGACCCTCCCAAAGAACCCAGACTCGGTTTTCCTGTAAGGAACATCACACCGTCCATGCGTGGAAGTCCCGGGGCTGCGCTTCTACTATTTCCCTGTGAGAATTCGTTCAGGGGGAGCTTTGAGACTTTGGTCCTCAAAATTGGTCTCCTCTACCCTGTCTGTGCAATGCCGCACGGGAACGCTAGGGGGCATCAGACCTGCACATTACATCGTGATCCCTTTTCCTGGGAAGCAGAACTGCCGCTTGGGTACTGTTAGTTGTGCACCATTGAGGTCCGCTGTGGACCTGCTCCCCTGATTATGGGACCTCAGGGCTGCAGTCCGTGTTTCACAGGCCCTCTCCCAGCTGGAGCTGCTGCACCCCAACTGGGTCCTGCAGGCCTGCTGCTCTCTCTGGTCACCCCAGCCCCATGTGGCAGTCACATGCCTTTGAGGAGGTGCAAAAGCCCCTCTGCTTCTCGGGATGGGGCCCATGGTGTGGGACACCTACCCATGTGAGAACCCGGAATGCTCCTTAGGAGGAGACAGTTGTGGGGGCGGCACTGTGCCAGCTGTGCCTTAGGCTGCACTTCAGGTGCCCAGCTCCCCTGGGCTGGCTCCAGGCCCTGAGCCCCATGTCCAGACCCTTTTATCTCCTCAATGCAAGACGTTCTCTGCCCTACTGGATCGCTGTGGTTGGCCGCATGGGCAGTGACCTTTGAGGACTCAGTGATGGCATTTTGGAGGGACTGCAGAGGCCTCTGGGTAAATCCTACCCTGTCTGTCCTGAGAGGGGAGCCGGACAGGAGGGCCTGGCCAAGGAGAGCACCCGTGGCTCTGCCGGGAACCTCTGAGCCAGGAAAGGCCTGGCTGCAGTCTGGCCTTGCGCAGAACCAGCTTCCTTTGCCTGGCAAAGGCGGGGCGGAGGTCCCCGGTCAATTAGCCACACAATGGACTCTGAACCTTGGCTGTAACGCAGGCCAGCTCCTTAATGGCATCTTTTTCCTTACTTCTTCCTCAGAAATAACAGACACCGTTCCTGTGCTCATTTCTCCCCTGGACACCATCTCCGCATCTCTGGGTGAGCCTCAGCCTGTAAGACTGTGAGAGCCATGTGACCCCTGGCAGTGCCCAGTCCCGGCCTGGGGCCCAGTGTCAGCTGACTGCACCAGCTACCCCCTGGGGTGCAATGTGCCTGGGCAGAGACCCAAGAACCCTGGCCTGGCGTGTGGGGCTGGGATGACAGGCGCCAGGAAACCTTATCCTTCACAGACTTGTTAGAAACAGCCTTACTTGGAAGCAGGGTGCTTTGCTTCGTGAAGACCCTGCCTACAAAAGCCCAAGTGTACCCCAAGGGACATTGGCAGAGTTACCAACTGCAGGACAGGCTTGGCAGTGTGGACCAACCATGCCCGGCACCTTTACTATATCTGAAATAACCCTGGCTGCCAGATCTTGTTTACTGCTCAGTGTCTCTCTGATTCCATCCGTCATACCCAGGGACAGAGCAGTGGTCAGAGACAGTTTCTTATCACAATTGCTGGCCAGCTGGCTGGATGCCAAATTGAAAATGACCAACTGCTTTCCCATTTCTTTTTTTCTTTTGAGACAGGGTCTTGCTATGTAGTCCAGGCTGGCCTGAACTCATCTTGTAGCCGGGACTTTCTTTGAGCTTACTATGATCCTTCTGCCTCAGCCTCCTGAGTGCGGGGGTTGCAGGTGTGCACTGTGAGACTCAGTTAAATATCAAACAGTATTGGGAAGCCAGGGAGGAAGAGGTTTTGGGGCACATCAGCTATGGGAGGAATACCGGAACCCAGGGCAGTGAGGATGCTGGCACTGAGGGCAGGGGCAGAAAGTTTCCTTCTAAGAGAAGAAGGGGCAGCTAGGGGTGCTGGAGGGGATGAGGGACTCCTTTCTGTTCTGTGACTGATGCCGTGTCTCGCTCTGCACAGGCTCAAGGCTGACCATCCCATGTAAGGTGTCTCTGGGGACCGGCACACCCATGAACACCTTGCTGTGGTGGATGGCCAACATCACCGAGCTGGAGAGTGCCTATCCCCAGGGTCGTGTGAGAGAGGGCCCTCGTCGGTGAGTGGCCAAGGGTCCTTGGCTGTTAGGCCTCTGTGGGGGGGGGGGGCGAGGGGTCACTGCTCCTTCTGGAGATGGTGTCTCGTCACCTCATCAGTGTGACACTTGTGGGACATTAAAAGAACCCTTTCTTGGTTTCCAGACTGTTGAAGTTTCAGAATTTAAAAGTAGAATTGTGGTTAAAAAAAAAAAAAAAAACTAGCTTGGGAATCAAATGTCCTCTAGACGTTAAAACAACACACATGGGGCTACGTGTTTCAATTTTTGAAAATGTGTCACAGTAAAAGCACGTGGCAGTGAGTCACCCTCCAAGCCGCCTCTTGCTCCGAGCAAGCACATCCCGCGTTCTGGATCCTTTCTGCAACAGCGCTGAAGTGCTCCTTCTTGCGGGTCTTCAGTTGCACTGCCGTGGCTGACTTTGTGTCCCGAATCGATTCAAAATGTTTCCCTTTCATGTTCATTTTGATTTTGGGAAAGAGCCAGAAGTCACCTGGTGTCAGCTCAGGTGACTAAGGGAGGTAAGGACACAGCGTCAGGAGATTTTGAGCTGCCTTTACATCGGCTGGCTCACAGCAACACCTGTCACCACGTTTTTGATCACCTCTCACAAAGTGAACTTCAGAACTGCTTCAGAAGCCTGCAGGAATGATGGCTACGCCAAGAGGAGTTCAGAGCAAGAAAGGCATCTGAAGGAGATTAGTAACAAAGTGGCTTTTACTGTGACACATTTTTAACACTGAGTATGAGCTGCGTTGCAACAGGCTAGCGGAATCGGATGTTGCATTTTGTGACTGTCTAAGCATTTATTTCTCAATCTTTGCATAATTAAAAAGTATTTTGGAGCTAGTAGATTTCCATGGCCACTCTGTTCTCAAACGTTTTTGGAAATCTTATGAGGATTCTGGGAGCTGGCTTCCAAGCCTGCACGTCGCCTCTCCTGTTTGCCTTTGCTAGGGAACCAGGGGCTGCCAGGGTCTCTAAAGGAAGATTAACAGCAAAAGAAGGAAGGAATTCAGTTCTCATCTCTAGAAAACATTTCCTCAGTCTGAAACTAGAACAACCAGATGTCCTATGTGGGAGGTACTGTCTGAGAAAGGGGGACCATTTGATATTGCAAATCAGAGAGCATTTTAAAAATGAAAGTCTTGATAGTTTGGGAGAGTCTGAACTTTTGCTGGCCTGTTTTGAAAGACTTCTCAAAAACATTCTCTATGGATGCGATGCCATGGATGTGAATGAGCTGTGGTTAGCATGCTGTAATCTTTTGTGTGCAAATCCTTGTTGCGAAAGATTTGGCCTGAGCCTAAGATAGGCACCCCACGGTGGCTTATTCATCTGGCCCTTTACTAAAGGGACAGGCTTCATGCCCCCCCAAAGCAGGAGGTCCACTCCATGATGCTTTTCTTCATGCCAGTAGACAGATGGCAGTGCGGGGCTCCAGCCTAGGGGACAGGACAGATGGCAGCCCTCCCCTGGCTCTCCAGGCTCCCTACTTCCAGAGCCAGAGCGAGCCAAGATGAGAGGAGTCACCGTGGAGGGCTGGAGTCCCGGAAACTCCCTGCTCTTCAGTCTGTGAAAAATCTGCCCATGAGAGGGTTCAGTTTCCCCACACTAGATGTTTCTGTTCCCATGGCTGGATCTTTACTCATCAAAGACCTTAAACTATGAAAATTTCCATCGTCTAAACCAAAATGAGTGTGCAAATTCTCACTGTAATGAGGGCCCTGCTGCAGTGGCCTGCGTCTTCGGCAGCCATGCTGTGACGTGAGGGCAGGCTTGGAAATTCTCCCAAATCAGCCCCAACCAGGGAACCTCTTCCTCTGACTTGAGGAACTCAAGTCAGTGTGGGCAGGAAGGCGGCGCCTCTGGGGGCAGCGGTTAGTGGTGACCTTGCATTTGGTCCATCAGGGTTCACTGAGTGTTTTCTCACCCAGGGAATATTCAGAAAATGGTGAGAACTTCATCGAAGTGCCGCTGAATTTCGATCCGGTCATCAGAGAGGATTTGAACACGGAGTTTAGATGCACTGTCTCTAACTCACAGGGATTCGAGACACTGCAAACTACGGTGAAAGAAGGTATGTACCCCACGAATGGCTGGAAACACACAGCCCAGGCTGTGCTGACGGTTGCATTTGCTTTGTTTTGGTGAGGGAGAGGTGGAACATGGGGAAATCAGACTCCAGCAGGAAGCCACCAGTAGGAAGCCACATTGAGGGGTCTGCAGTGGCCTGTTAAACAGCCTCTGTCCCTTCCTGGGTCTGGTGTGGACCACCCTGCACAGCTGTCCCTGTTGTGCGCCCCCAGAAGAAGGCGGGTGGTTCTTCAAGTTGCAAGAGTACTCCATCCTGCAAGAGTTGGGGCCTGGGGTACTGGTGTTCAGGGCAGCTTGAAGTTTAGGGGCACTAGGCAACAGGAAATAGGGGCAAGGGAGTGTTCCATCAACCCAGGGCCCATGAAGGACACTTGAAAAAGAAAAAACTGCTTGGATGGACAGGATGGCTGCTGTACGCTCAGGCATGGAGCAGGGGAGGGCAGCGCCGGGGACTCAGTCTCCACTGCCAGCCGGGAGGGCAGGAGCCTCTCTGCACTGCCCTGAGCAGGCATGGGGAGCAGGGCTGGCTTCCCATCAAGTCTGTGAGGTGCAGATGGAAACGGGGTCAGGCTGGGGGCCAGAGGACTGGTGCTTTGTCCAGCCCCGATGCTGGAAGCGTCTGATGTTTCCCCGAGTGAGCCTGCTCGACTTTCCTTCCTGGCTAGGGGTGGCTGATCCCAGCGCTGGGTTTCCGTGGGGACTGAGAGGCACACGCAGCGGACTGCTCGGAAGACTGCAGCCCTCCCTCGCTCCTCCCTGGGGAGTGGTGCGCTGTAAGGTCCTGGGAGACAGTGGCAAATCATGGTTTAAAACTGTGGGATTCTGGTTGTATCAACAAACTGTCTAATAACATTCTGCCCTCATTTTTGCTTTTACTTTCTTTTCTTTATTTTTGTTTGGTTTTCCTGAGACAGGGTCTCACTCTGTATTCCAGGCTGGCCTCAACCTTGCAGCAATCCTCCTGCCACAGCTTCCCGAGTGCTGGGACTGTAGGTTTGTGCCTACTCCAGCTACTTCTGACATTTTATTCCTAGTCTCTCTCTTTATTCCGGAGCACAGAGGCACCTAGGAGCAGCACACGCAGTGAACCGGGGCCAGGCAGTAACCATGGTCCCATGATCCTTGAGTGCAAGGCTGTTTTCGATTCTGGGGTTTCTTCACTCCTGTGACACCCCCACTCTGGGGAAGGAGGCGTCATTCCTGGGCCACGTCACAGAGGCCACTGCTGAAGAGCTCACCGTAAACACAGCCAGTTCCCCAGCATCGCCCGTTTTGTCATGTCCTTGCTAACAGATGCTGCCCCGCCTTGCTGGCCCCTCTAACGCCGCAGCCCTCCTCCACCGAGCTGTTGGGCATGGACTTTCTGGAAGTCAACGCACACTTGACTGGGCAAAGCAGAACGGGTTCCTTTCTTTTCTGTTGGCCTGGTCCTGTGTGCAGCGCCGTGCTCAAACACTGACTCACCTCTGTTCTCCCCACAGCCCACTCCACGTTCTCCTGGGGAGTCGCCCTGGCCCCCCTGTCACTGATCTTCTTGGTTTTGGGCGGCATCTGTATTCACAAGCAGTGGAAGCGCAGAGCTAGAAAAGGATATGGTCTGCCGATGCTCAAGACCGGCTCCCAGGACTTCTGTTCCCTCCAGGGAAAGTAAAGGCCACTCAAGAATGCAGACCCAGCCCCTCCCTTTCTCATGAGGGTGGCTGTGCTCTTCTCTCGGACTCTGGTGTTTCTCCTTGTTTAACGAAGCCCCTCTGTTTTCGGTGGAGAGCTGCAGCCTTATCTCTGTTTTTTTCCTGAAAATCGTTGACAGAACCGCATGCACATGTGGGTATGAGCAGCTCTGTGTACCTGGGACCTAGTTAGGAGAACAGACGAGGGGCCCTGAAACCTGAGTGAGAGTGAAAACCACCAAACGGGGTTTGAAACTCATCTATTCATTCAACAAAAAGCACCCTGAAAGTTGATTTGGCCAGACTGCACGGGAAATAGGAGACACAGATATGCTTAAGACATAGTTTACCTTACAGGAAGGAGGAAGTCCTTTCTGATCCTGGAAAAAGTGAGTTAGAAATGCAAGAGAAGAATCAGCAAGAATCAGTGAATTTTGGGGGAAAGGCGGTACAAGAAACAGCGACTGAAATAGGATGCAAGACACAACTTCGTAACAATACTGAAAATGAAGAGGAAATCAAGATAATTGTACACAGCTGGAAAACTACAACCAGACCCTGTTTATGTCATACACCGAAAACCATTCCAGAGGGGTCATGGAAACAAAACGGAATGGTAGATACCGTCACACAGTTCACTTCCTGGTTAGGACTGGCACTTGGTAGAGGAAGATTTGCACCCCCAGTTAGGCCGAGGAAGCAAGGGCGGGTTTTGAACGTCACTTTTAGGTTTCCTCCCGTCCTTTCCTCTTTCCTTTCTCTCCTTTTTATGAGTCTTTGAAGATGGAGAAGTGGAAAGAGGAGGCAGAGGCCTTGGGCATCTGGCCAGGGTTTCACCCCTAAGGAGAGGGGATGTGGGTTGGGGAAGGAAGTGTGGGGTGAGGACGTGGAACTGGCCCGGCCATGCCTGTGCCCTCTGTGTCGCTGAGCGGGGGCCTCGTGAGGTGAGGTCTCAGCAGTGCCCTGGAAGAGGAGCTCACTGCAGCCCCTCCAGGACTTTCCAGACTCCACCTCCACTGCAGGGCAACATGCCCTCCCCACCCTCTGGGCCAGCCTGGGCCACACTGCAGGGAAGGAGGAGACAGTTGGGGAACTTGGGGTGTTGGCTGTATTAGGGAATACGTATGGAACCAGGATGTCTCCATTTAGAAACAGAAGCGTTGTTACCCTCCTAAGAGGCACACAGAATCACTTATGGGACAATATCTGAGATTTGCTAAATTTATCCAGTGCTCGGAGAGAAGCAATGACATGAGAACAGCCACACGTTGATAATCCTCGGCTGTGATGAGGCTGCACAGGCTTCCTCCACCACCCTCTACTTGTGTCTAGGTCTGGATCCCAAATGAAAAGTAAAATGCAGTGCAGGAACATCCCAAATAAACTTAGGCAAGACAGCGAGTGTATGAACAGCAATGAGAGAGAACAGTGAAATTTGTACAGCGGTAAAGTAAGCAAGTAACTATAATCAATGAACTGTGAGTAATAATACAAATGAATCTTAGAAAATATTAAGTAGGTAAGTTGTAGAAATGTTCATTTATAACATGACGCTCTTTTATATAAAGTAAACAAAAATACCTAAAACTAAACATTTTCTGTGTCTACCCACACACACGCACACACATGCATACGCACGCGCATGTGCACATACAGACACATGCACACACACACACTTGTTAAAATATAGTTTTGTCACATCCATGCTCCTAAATGGAAGTATGTGTGCTCAGGGGTTATGGGTGTTGACGCTCTGGGTGCCAAGTGAGGGACAAGGGTGGAAATGGGGGAGAAATATGTGAACTTTGTCAAGCTCTGCATCTTATTTTGGGTAGTAGGTTGTTACCATTTAATTCCATAGCAAATAGGTTAAAAAGACCAAATGGCCAGTGAAGCTGCATGTTTAATCCAGGGTTATGATTAACCTAATTCTGTGAAGTTCAAATTAAACTCACCCAGAACAAACACAAGGGGCTGATTTCATATTCTAAAGCGGGGAGTACTTGTATTTTACTTTGATTTTATTTTTTTTAACTTTTGGAAGGATGGGTTTTTTCATAGCACCTCTACAGAACACCAAGAAAGTATTGGCAGATAATGTTGGGAAATTTCATGCTTCCATGAGCCCCTTATAAGGGGAAAAAAGTACATGCTAAGAAATAAATGCATTATTTATTTCTTAATAAACAGCCCGCTGGGCTGTTCCTACTCTTGGCCCCCATGGCGGGGCATCCTGTTCTCCACCTTGACACAGCCTGGCTGCCAGTGTCTGTGATGGAAAAACTGTGCTCTGGGATTTTCCTGCCAGCACCGAAGGGATGCCAGGACTGGGCTCGGCCGGTCCCTGCCAGCTCCTGCCCTCAAACTGCTGCTGGTTTCCGCTGTGACCTCCTGCCAGCCGCTGCCTGGGACACACAGCTCTCTGTGCTTCTGTGGTTGTTTTCTACCCTGGGTGTCTGCATGTCACAGGGCTCTGAGACGCCACAGTCCCCCCACAAGGGCCCTGTGCCCAGGTGTCCTGGGGCCAAACTGTCTATTGACACCTGGGCTACAGCCTCTGTCCTGTGTGGTGTCACTATTCCCTGGGCACCCACAGGAGTCCCTTCCAAGCTCATATGGCCACCAGGTTCCAAAGTGCATGGTGGGGAGGGGTGATGAGTCCTGACCTCTCCCAGGGATCAGCTCCAAGTGTCCCCTCCTCCCTCTCCCACCCGCCTGCAAAACTCATTTTCTCTGTGTCTTCAGACACAGCAAAGCAAACTAAGTCTCCTGCAGGGCTGCCTTCACTCACTGGTTCCCCAAACCCTGCACTGTGCTTCCCAGGCTCCAGGGGAGGCCAAGCACCTGGGGCTGGAGCACCTGAGAGAGAGAAGGCTGAGGTGCAGTCAAGGAACAGGGGAAGACAGCAGTAATGAATGGAAACGGGGCAGGCAGGTGGCTGCAGCGTGTGAGATTTCACACCTGTGGCCTAGACCACAATCTACCAGGTACAGTCCACATGGTAGACCAGGAAGCCGAGGCTCGGTTTACTCTCACAACAGATAGAACCAAGTCCCAGGAGGGGATCATAGCTGGGGAACAGCTAGTGGAGCAAGGTTACAGCAGGAAGGAGCAGAATAAACATCCTCTGCCAAACTCACCAGAAGTGATGCTAACAAGGATGAAACTGCACAAAAGGAAAGAACAACCGGGATGGGAGAAAGAAGAAAAGGGAGGGGAACACACACACACACACACACACACACACACGTGCAAGATGGTGAGATAATCACACGGCTCATTCTATTCCTTCATGGAAAGGAACAGCGCTCATAGTGCTGGACTTTGCAAGTCTGTATCTGGTAACCCGAGCAACTATTTTGCAGCTAACCATATGTAACATGACAGCCATTGTTAAATTCCTGCCATTTGTTTTGAAATCCTGTATGACCATTGGGTTTTTGTTGTTGTTGTTCATTTGCTTTTTGGTTTTTCTGGTTTTTTTTCTCTTTAAAATAAAAAATTAACAGAACAAAACAAAAACCAAGGAACCTGCCCCAAGGCAGCATCAGAAATGGGAACCCAGGGCCCCTCTGCCCTCCTGCTGCAGTCTATCCCCTTAGCCTCGGGGCTCCCCCCAGCCTGTGGTCAGGGGGGGCCTTGTCTGTCTCCATTCAAACAGCCTGCATGACCTTGACCTTGGGGAGCTTGCTTTCTTCTAAGCCTGCAGGGAAACAGCGTGGATTTAGCCCCAGAATGCTCAGAAATGCTTTGAGCAGGATGTGAGTTTACAGTGTTAAAACCAAGGCTGATCCTTCCCTTATATTTCTTATCCCAAATCACTGTTGAAAAGGTGGATTTTATTATTACCCAGGTAGGGCGAGGCCTACTGAAGTGGCACTGAAAGACAGGGAGAGATTCAGGTGTCCCAAGGTTGAGAGGCTCAGGCCACACAGTGGGGATCCAGGGCCGCCCCAGGGTTGGCCCGGAAGCAGAGGTGCAGGGAAGGTCTGGCTTCTGCAGGAGGAGAGATGAGGTGGGGATGCGGCAGAGGTCTGCCTAGTCTGAATAACTTAGGGGTTCAGGGATCTAGAGGTGTCTCCTCCAATTGTTGCAGGCAGCTGAATTAGAAATATTATAGGCAGTCAGACAGGGGCCAGGGCAGACATCTTGCAACTGTGGGGGAGACAGACATCTCCACAGTGGGCCAAGCCTCAAGACAAAGGATCAAACAAATGCATTCACACCCTAAGGATTAATTCTAATTAGTTCCCTATCACCCTGAGGAAGCTTGGAATCACCATTCCAACCCACTAGGGAAGAGTCATAGCTCTAAAAATGCCCACTTCCTATGTGACTTGCTTTCCCATTTGTCCCCAATTTAATCAATTTTACCTGAACTACTAATCTTGTTGGCTAACTATAGTTATGTCCCACCTTATGCCCATCTGTTTTGTGAGTTTCTAGTCTTCCCCCACCTTGAACTGGTCTCGCCCATGATTTTGCTCTATAAAAGTCCCTACAAAAGACAGAGTCCTAGGCAACCTGCTTGGGACCTCTTCTGTCTCTCTTTAGACAGAAGGTTTCTTTTTCAATAAATATGTTCTATTCTTTACCTCTGTTGTTTCTAAAATTCATTCTTCGATTTTAGAGAACACAAACTTGCGGACATAATAGGTTGGCAGTTTCATTCTCCTGTATCAGGGGTAGTGACCAGGGCGTGAGAGCTTCAAAAGTGTGATAGCTCGGACCCCGGAATAAAACCCAAGGAAGCAAGAAATTAAAATTTGGGGAGCAAAGGCTTTATTTTAGGCCAGGCCTGGCGACGCAATCCCCAGGAGCTAATTTGGAGACTGCGTACCTTATGGCTAGAAAGGTTGGGTTTTAAAGCCAAAAACCACGGGAATGTTGCGAACTTTGACCCAGTTTGATAACTTCCTTGTAGTTAAAGGTTTCTTAAGGACAGTACACTGTATTGCAGATAGGCTAAAGGGGGGTGGGGGGGATTACAAGAAATTGAAACTTAAAGCTTTTATGGGAAATGGAGACTTAACCTAAGAATGGGGAGGGGAGGGGGATTTACAAGGAGTTGAAACTTAAGTCCTTACTGGAGATGGAATTTTAATCTCTACTGAAACAGCACATCAGAACAGGAAGGGGGCACATTGGTTAGAACCAGGTTACAACATTCCCCTCTGATGTTGTGACAGAGGTCAAATCTTTGACCTAATTTTTAAGGATTTTGGGGTACAAGCTTGTAGGCATGCTGGCATAACATCGTCAGCTTTATGCCTTGCATTTGTTGTCTGACATATGCAGTTATTCTATTGAGTATACAAGGACTTACTGTGATGAAGAACAGTACTCCTAACAATGGTCCAAGCAAGGGCAGGAGATAGGGCAGGATTCCATTCCAGACACTCCATAAAGGATTTTCAAATAGCTCTCTCCTCCTTTTAACTAGGTCTTCCTGTAGTCTCTTGATTTTATCTCACACAACGCTGGACTTATTTTTACATAAAAGCAGCATCGTTCCTGCAATGCCACACAGATCCCTCCTTGTTCTGCCATTAGGAGGTCTAGTCCCCTTCTGTTTTGGAGAATTACTTCAGCTAACGAGTCTATTTGGTCTTGAATGACCTGAATGGTACTAGATAATGCCTGCACATCACTAACGATCTGGTTGGAAAGTTGGACAGAAACCTCTACTCCTGCTGCCCCCATACCTAAGGCTCCTGATATTCCTAGGCCAACCAATAAAGGGATAAATTGAACTGCCCTCTTTGATTGGCCTGTGATGTAATCTAAACTAGGAATGGGGACAGGCTCATCCCCGGGTAGGAGCTCTATATCAGGCAATAGGACCGCTGTTACACATATCCCTGTCCAGTTAGTTGGGAGGAAAGTATAGGCCATATTTCCTTCACAAATAAATACTTGCCCTTCGGCTATGGAACTACAATTGGTAAATGCAATGAACCCCATGTTAATGTCGGAAGTATCATTATGAAAACCTCTTTGGAGACAGAGAGAGTCCTTGAAGCCTACTGGTTGTACTCTAAAGGGGGGACCAGCACTATGATTTAAGTAATCTTGTTCCTTCAGCATAGTTAGAGAAACATTGGTGGGGATCACAAGGGGCATGGGGGAGCTCTGTTCCGTGCATAACCAGCAATCTTCAGCCAAAGTTGGGTTGGAAGCATTTAAGGCTTTATGAGTGGCTTCTAGAATACCAGAAGTTTGAGCATCTAGATCAACTCCCCGCGATTTAGGCAGCATCAAGGGGTGGTAATGTATCTGGGGAAACATTATTTTTATTAGCTGCTTGACTCGTTCCTCAACCTTTAGTTCTCTGATCTTATCTTGCGGGCCACTCCCATCAGACACATGTATAGGGGCCACCCTGCTCCAGCACACTGATTTACCAACCGTGCTGAGACATGAGGCTTTGAACTTCCTATTACTGTCAGATTGGTGGACCAATCACCTCCAATACTTCCAGTCCATGTCCTCCTAAGCTCAGCAGTGAAGTAAGTTTTGCTATCTATGCCTATACATTCTTGTACAGAGTCATAGCAAGAGGAATGCATTTCTGAATATTAAGAACAATTCTGAGGGCATGGCCCTGGCTGGCTGCCTTTGTTAGGTATCACTTGGGGCTTTAACATACACATCCACCTTTGAGTCAAACCCCCTGTAACTGAGGGTATAGCAACAAGGAATGCTAACTCGTCCCCACAATCTGTCCGAAGACTGTATGCATACAATTTATCATTTGTGTGGGAAGGATCTCGATCCTTGTTTCCTACTGTATGTATAATTCCCCCCCAGTTGGTGTCTTTACCTTTAGTAATATAGCCCCCTCCGCAATCACAGGGGCTCCCATACAAAGATCTTAACAATTGTTCTTTGCTTACAGGGGGACCAAAACCGCCGTGCAAGGTTGGCATCAATGTTATTAAAATCAAAGCAAGCAAGCTAAAACAGTTCATGCCTGGCATAATCTAACTATGCTTTAGTCAATTTTAACTTCAAGGGGTTGCTAGTCTGTTGTATAGTCCACTGAGTATAGTCCCTCGTTGTCTGCTGTTTCCAGTGGCTTTACGTGAGTATGGTGAATCCATGCAGTTTTTCCTGCTACCTTGACGGCAGTGGGGGGTACTGAACACCATGGTGAGGGGTCTTTTCCAGTGGGGTTCAAGGGAGTCTCAATTGTGACATTGCACCAGGACAGAAGTTCCCAGCTCGATGGGTGCTTTGAATGGCTTCTCTGAAGGCAGGTCTGGGTGTTTTTGTCTAAACAGCTGCTGGATCAAGGCCAACACAGGCCGGAGAGTCTGCAGGGACTTAATGAGATCTTGGTTAGTTATTTCAACTAATTTGTCCTCTGACAGTCTTGTGACCAGTGGAGGGGGCCTTCTGAACATAGCCTCAAAGGGGGAAATTCCAGAAACATATGGGGTACATCTAGCTCTTAACAGTGCAAAGGGAAGAAGGCTCATCCAATTATCGCCAGTTTCTAAAGACAGCTTAGCTAAAGTGTCCTTGAGAGTTCAGTTCATACGTTCTACTTTCCCTGAGCTTTGTGGCCGATAGGCACAGTGGCGTTTTCCAATTAATCTTAATGCCTGGCTAACTTTTGGGTGACTTGGGCTATGAAAGCTGGGCCATTTTCGGACCCCATTGATAGTGGGAGGCCAAATCGAGGTATGATCTCATGCAATAGCTTTTTAACTACCACTAAGGCTAATGCAGACTTAGTAGGGAAAGCCTCTACCCAGCCAATGAAGGTGTCTACTAATACTAAGAGATAGTGGTGCCCCTGTAAACTAGGCTTTACCATGTCCGTGAAGTCTACTTCCCAACGTTCTCCTGGAACAATTCCTCAATGTCAAGTGGTCTCCAGCGTAGAGCTCTTGGCTGAGTTGACTGACAAGCACTGTGGGCATCTGGAGCTCAAAGAGGCAGTAATTTTGGAGAGTTTTGGAATAAAAAGCCGAGTTCTGAACAATTCAGCAAGTTTAGTTCCCCCTAAATGGGTAGTTTGGTGAGCTCGGCATAACAGCTCCCATCCTAGTGCCTCTGGCAACAGAACTCGTTTATCAGGTAACTGGTACCAGCCCCCTGGGGTGGGGGACTTCCCTCCAAGTTGAGATGCTAACTGCAGGTCCTTCTCTACGTAGACCGGTTCTGATAAAGTGGGAGGAACCAACATCAGAGCAGTTACATCCTCGGTTGGCCCCTGTGATGTAGTGGCTATTTTTCCAGCGGCCTGATCTGCCAAATTGTTTCCTAAGGTGAATAACAGCAACCTGCTGAGGCAGCCAGACTGCTGCCAGCAAGTCTAGGATCTGTGGACCATTTTTTTATCTTAGTCCTGGCCGAGGTTAAGAGATCTCCCTCCTGATAGATGGCTTCATGTACATGTACAGTAGCAAAAGCATATCTACTGTCAGTATAGATGTTTACCCTCTTTCCCGTGACTAGTTTTAGCGCCTCAGTCAAAGCAATGAGCTCCGCCTTTTGGGCAGAGGTGCCAGGCTCCAACCACTTAACCCAGAGTACCTCCTTTTCGGTGGTCACTGCTGCTCTGGCCACTCGTTTGCCATTCTGGATGAAGCTGCTTCCATCGATGAAATAGTTGTCAGCATTTCCCAAAGGCTTGTCGGTAAGATCAGCCCATAGGTTCTGCTGCAGTTCAAGGATGTCAGCACACTCATGGAGAGGTGTCCTTTGTTCCTCAGGGTCATCGTCAGGCATAAGGGTGGCTGGGTTTAAAGCAGAAGGAGTCTTGAAAACTACTGACTCTGCGTCTAGAAGCAGAGCCTGATAGTGTAAAATTCTAGTGTTTGAGAGCCATTTTTTGGGAGGAGTTTTGATAAGAGTCTCTAAACAGTGGGAAGTCACTACAGAAATCTTCTGTCCAAAAGTGAGTTTGTTAGCCTCTTTAAGTAACATTGCCACAGCAGCTAGGATTCTCAGGCAGGGGGCCCATCCTCCTGTCACCAGATCAAGTCTTTTGGAGAGGTAGGCTATAGGCCTCTTCCAAGGGCCAATGTCCTGGGTTAGGACTCCTTCGGCAATGCCCCTGAGTTTATCTATGAACAAGGTGAACGGCTTGGTAACATCAGGGAGTCCCAGGGCTGGGGCCTCTGTCAAGGCCCACTTGAGCTACTGGAAGGCCTGTTCACATTTATCAGTCCAGTTCAGTGAATTTTGAGTTTCTTCCTTAGGGGAGTCATATGGGGGTGAGCTTTTTAGTAAAACTTAGAATCCATAGTCTACAGTGTCCAACCACCCCCAGAAACTCTCGTACTTGTTTTTTTTTTTTTTAAATTCTGTCTCATAGAGCAATTCTATTACCTTGACTATCTTCTTATTGGTAGCTTCTTGTAAATTCTCTCAGTTCTCAAAGACCTTTTGTGCTATCTCTGTTAACTGGCCGAGGGGCATTTTCTCAAATCTCTTAAACCTTTGCAATTTTTGTCTAACATGTGGGGCCGACTGAGTTGCAAAGAGAACAACTGGCAATACTTGGGAAACCTCCTTACCTCTGATTGTCCAATCAGGGTGGGACAAAAGGAAAACATGGTTTTGGCATTCTGGATCAGGGAGCAGGTTTCATCTGGATGGCACACTGTTTTTGGTCCCAGGGTGCCACGTGGCAGGCCACCATTTTACTGAAATTACATGCTTAACAAAAAGGGGCTTTTTCATGTGTAACAAAATTGTGCCGCATAATCTCCCAGATGTTCACAGAATATGCAAGAACTTGTATCTTATCTCTATAATCACCCATAATCTCATTTTAATGGAAACATTTTGCAGCAAAGGTTTACCAATCTTATGAATACTTCTACCAAAACTGATCTAATACTGTCAAATTCTGAACACATTTAATTATTTTCAGACCTGTTATTTGTAGTACTATAAACCAAAACAAATAAAATTCACATCCTCTTGAGCTTTCTACAACTTACAATATACCCTCAAATTGAGCTTTTATCTTCTTCCACATTCTGGCACAGCCAGACATTTTTATTTGAAGACAAAACCACTTTCTTTGTCCCTCTTTTTCTTACTATTACCAATCAATGACCTTTCCTCTCGCTTCTCAGACAACATTAAAACTCTTAACAAAACCCTTAAAGTCACCTTTTAGTAGTCTAAAATACATTTAATTATTTTATGTCTTTTTACCACATTAAAATGCTTTATTTTAGAAATAACTGTAACCTTTTAACTGGCTCAAATATAGTATAACCTGGTTTTTACTTGGTAAAGTTGATATGATTCTTAAAAACCATAAATATACATATATTTGTGCACATATGTTTACATTTTAACCAGAAAGAAAAATATTCTTTTTTTTAAAGGCATGCCGAATTTGCAAATAATAATTGAGGACTAAAACATTAAACAAGGTGCCACAACATAAAAGACACAAACAAAGGTTGCTTCGTGCACAGTTTGGTGAGCTAAAGGAAATAAATTTTTTATTATGAACTTTGAGTCTAATAAGCCATATGGATCCTGCAGCAGAAATGGGCAACAAGCCCCTAAGTTAGTAACAAATTCAAATAGGCAGACAATTCTAAAGTACAAAAACACTGAACATAAATATCTAAATCCCTTTTTCCATTTTGGGCTCGTAGAAGGGGTTCCTAGGAAAGAATGCTCTGTTAGATTTGGGGTAACCAAAAGGGGAACAATTAGACCAAATGGGTACACAAATAGACATACAAGACAAGACAAGCTACAGCAAAATGGCCTTTGCTCAAAAATTGGTCAAATTTTGGGATCTAGAGGAATTAACAAATTAACTAATGGAGCGGTTCCCCACCTGGGGCAGAGTCACAAATAGATGAAGTTTGTCCCCAAAACTATACAAATGGACAAGATTTGTCCCAAAAAACCAATTGACTCTGTCCTCAGAAGGGCAGAGTCAATTCCCAAATTGAGGGCATCTCCTCCCCAAGAGTACAAACTGACCACGGCCCAAACGAACCTTCCAGAGTACTTACTTTCAAATGTTCAGAAATGGTCTGGGGTCTTGCTCCCATCCTGGACGAGCCCCCAAATGTGATAGCTCAGACCCTGGAATAAAACCCAAGGAAGCAAGAAATTAAAATTTGGGGAGCAAAGGCTTTATTTTAAGCCAGGCCTGACGATGCAATCCCCAGGAGCCAATTTGGAGATTGCACACCTCACAGCTAGAAAGGTTGGGTTTTAAAGCCAAAAACCACAGGAATGTTGCGAACGGTGACCCAGTTTGATAACTTCCTTGTAGTTAAAGGTTTCTTAAGGACAGCACATTGTATTGCAGATAGGCTGAAGGGGGTGGGGGGATTACAAGAAACTGAAACTTAAAGCTTTTATGGGAAATGGAGACTTAACCTAAAAAGAATGGGGAGGGGAGAGGAGGGGGATTTACAAGGAGCTGAAACTTAAGTCTTTATTGGAGATGGAATTTTAATCTCTATTGAAAGGGCACATACAGAACAGGAAGGGGGCACATTGGTTAGAACTAGATTACAACAAGAAGAGGGAAAGGAGTCGGCTCAGGACTGGCTGGCTTGCATTCAGAAAGCCCCTCAGTGGCTCTCTCAAATGGTGCTGGGAGTTCTGCAAGGTATTTAAATGGCCCTAGACACAGAGGCAACACAATGGGTGTGTTCCCAGTGTCATCTTCTTTCTTTTTAGTAAGAGTGCAATGTGTTTCATTAAATACAGTAGAGCAGTTACCATAAAACCTAAAAAGGATTAGCACCAAAATTTATCATTACACAGACATGTTGCCTGGTATTCAGAGCCTTGAAAATATAAAAAAATGATGTAAATGAAACCTCCAAAATTTATCCATCAGCAGATGAGTGGAAGAGGAAAATGTGATACCATAGAGTACTACTGTGCCATAAAGAAGGATAAACTGGAGTCAATTGTGGGAAAATGGTTGAGACTGTAATGTTAAATGAAATAAACTGGACACACAGGCTTCAATACTGCATGATTGCTTTTACATGAGGAACTCAAAGTATAAAGAGCAAAAAGATAGATAACAGGAGACAGGAAGATAGATCTTTCTCAAATGGAAAGGGGATCAATAGTCGGAGGGAGGAGGAGGGAGAAGAAGGGAAAAGATGAAAAAAGGAACTAAGGTGTGTTATGTACCTATACCAACTCCACGCAAGGTATGCAGCCATTATGTACTGCAAATTCACACTCAAAATCTGAAGCTTAACAGATAAAATAAAAATTTTCAAGTCAGAGCTACAGTTACTACTTGCTGAGTTCCAGCAGGAGGCTCTGGCAGTTTAGGGTCTTGGCTTCTGCTGGAACTCTGTGGCTTCCTGGGGTGCTGGACACTTAACTGGACTTTCACATACCCAGGTGATAATGCAAGACTAGTGCAACCCTGATGCCACCTGCACTAATTATAAAGCGATGCTCCCTGGTCCTGGAGCAGATGTCCCAGGCAAATGTCACATCCAGGACTCCGTGTTGAATGCGAATGGTGACAACAGCACCTTGTGGGAGGATGGGACATAGCAAGGGAAGGATGGACCACGGATGCTGGCCCATCTGCTGGTTCTCCATGTGTGGACCTAGGACCAGACACATCCATACCTCGGAAACCTACTAGAATGATGTTTCTGCCTTGGAGCCTGCTGACAAGAGACTGAAGCCTTGGGATCCATGAGCCTAATTGAAATTGTGTATTCAGGTCTTTGTCCTGACAACATACTGCCATGTTCCTTCCATCTCGGGGAGACTCTTATCTCTACCCAGCAAGGGGAAACTGTGCTTTCTTGAATAATGTACAAATCCTCAGAGGAGCCCTGGTCTCCCAGGCGCCAGGCCACTGTGGTGTCATTCTTGTCCCCAGCATACTTCACATGCATCATCATGCCTTCTCCTGTGTACTCATGTCTTGGCTCCTGCCTGGTGACATAGCTTCCCCACTTTGTGTCACTAGGAAGATAGTGACTGTAATCTGCAGTGGAACTCTCTCTTGCCTTCCCCAAGGATGGGATCATTTCTAGCCCTACTGGAGCTACATAATCACCTTAGCATGTTTCCCAGTGTGTACTGAAAAAATGAAACAAAAACCATTGCACCCTCCCCCCAAATCTGCCAAATCTCCACCAGTGAAGTCTAGGATACCTGGAGATTTAGAACAAGCTGGTAGCTTTTCCAAGTCTTCCTTGGCTGGGTTTCCAATGTTTTCTGTTCCCTGGCCTCAGAATTTCCTGTTTTAAAAGGTCTGAGAGAAAGTCATTCTTGGGTACAGAATCTTTGCTGAGCTCTGATTTAATATAAGCATGTGATTAAGTCCTTTTGGACTCTAATGAAAATATTTTTAAAATAAAATCCTTTGGGTGTCTGGTTAAAGGCTAAGGACACTGTTTCCAGTAAACACTTGACCTGTCTGAGTCAGCTTGTGGTCAGTGGTGCCCATCCTGAGGAAATTCAGGGGACTTATCTTCAAAGCCAAAGCCTGTGTGGATTTCAGATAACTCCGGGAGATAAAGGATACTGATAAGACTTCGCCTGGGCGGCTGGTGCTTTGGGTGACATATCTATTTCTTCTTCTTCTTTAGTTAACTCTAAAGAATTCTGGCAAGACACTTGAAATGGCTATCTTTCAAAGGAGAAAAGTGGCAAAGAGATTGCTGTTCTTGCCTCTTAATCCCATTGTCGACTAAACATAGAGCACTAGGGGCTTGAAGCATAAACTTAACCCCAACTGACAATGTGGGCTTAGTGTTTCATCAAGCAGCATTCTTTTTTCTCTAATAACCCAAGACAGACTCTATCTCTGCCTACTTGGGAGTAGATTACTTTAGAGAAGAAGATCATTAAATACTACTGTGGTGAGATGCGATGTGTGAGTGGGCTTGGAAGGCCCTCATTGGTGGGTTGTGAGGCATTACTCCAGGTGCTCATGGGATGGAAGTGCACAGGATATTCTCTGGCACACCAGCTTCTGGGACTCCTGATGTATAGGCCAATACCAATGGCAACAAAAGTCTTCCTTAGCCCTAGTTTTGTGTTAATTAGGGATGGATTTGGATGCAGGTAACAGTAAAACCAACAGTGAGTCATTTACAGAAATCAATGCTTCATATTATTGGAAGTGTGAAAATTCAGCAACTCAGCAATGTCAGAGTCAGGGCTGCTTTTGTTCTTGTTCTTTTTCTCATGGTCACAAGGTGGCAGTTGCTTTGTCAGGCATGGTATCTACATCCAGCAGATAGAGCGGGGAGGAGAAGCATCATCCATGTCTTCATCTTTCTCTGGAAACCTTTCCTCTGTATAGACATCTGCTATGTCACTGATCAGAGCTGCCACTCAGGCTTCCCTGGCCCTGTTGGAACCTAGGAAACCTACATCCTGGTCCCTGGAACTCAAAGGCCTATCTTACTTTCCTTCATTAAGGCTGTTCTGTTATTAGAGCCCCAGGTACTGAGGGGTCAGTAGCCTGTCTCTGAGAGCTGACTTTGGGTGACAGTGGGTGTGGCAGGCAGCACACCCTGTCCCCTTCTCTCTCCTTGCAGCAGACTCTCTGGGCATGCATCCCAGCCTGAATTTCTCTTTTTTCCTTCTGAGAATATTATTTGGAAAGTTCCAGGGGCAGCTTGATTTGGGGGAGAAGGTGAAGCTGGGGCAAGATGTCAGCTCTACATGCAGCTTGATCATCCCAGGGAGCTTGGACAGACAAGTCAGACAGATGGTGCTCATGGAGCTGGGAGCCTATAACTTTAAGAAGAAGGGGAAGAAGGAAGAAAAGCAGGAAAAAGAAATAGGAGAGGAAAGAAGGGAGGAAAAGGAGAATTAAGGAAAAAAGGGGAAGGAGAGGAGGGAGAGAAAGAAATTAAAAAGAGGGGAACATGAGGAAAGGACGGTGGTAGGGAAGGCAGGAAGAAAAGAAAGAAAAGTTTAAGAAAGGAAGAGACAGAGCAAGAGCACTGTGGGGACACATAAGGGGGAGAAAATTCCCAGGATGGTGAGTGTAAGAGGGAGGAGGCAAGGAGAAAGGAGGAGGAGATCACGTGTCACCGAAGGAAGAACATCTTGTCTATTCATCCACTCATGTTTGCTTATTCAGCAAATGAGAATTTCCTTCCTGGATTTCCTGACTCTTGGGAACGTGATTATCATGAAGACAGAATGACTCAAAGGAATGTATACTTGTGGGAAGTGTAAGGAAGGAGAGAGAGAGAGATGCTGTGCTTACGGGGTTTCTACCCCTCAGAGGGCCCAGGGACAGATGTCCAAAGATAGGAGAGATCTCAGCCATGCAGGGAGCAAGAAGGCATCCCATGAGAAGAAACAAACTGAGCATGAGCCAGCTGGGAAGCCTGGCCTGAGTGTGGGACAGGCAAATGCTCTAGACCCCTGAAAAGAGAACAAATGAGCAGAGGATGTGACAACTATGTACGCTCTACATATTGCATCAACTATGAATACCCCGCGGCAGACATATTTCCTGTGCTGACCTTGTGTTACCTTTAGAACAACCCCACTAGGCTGGGGTTCCCTTCACTTTGGTTCCTGTCAAAGCAGACTTGAGGCAAAGACTTGGCTGCAGGCAGTTTAGAGGGGACGAAGTTCAAGGAAGCAGGAGTGAGGGAGAATGGAGAGAGGCCAGCAAATATGGAAATATTATTGGGGGTTTTGTACCAGGTTCTTGCTGTCCTGATTGAAGAGTTGAGCATTCAGTGAGAAGAGCTTGCAGGCTGAGGGCTTGGTGTGGAGGGTGTAAGCCTTAGGGTTTGGGGAAGGCCTAAAGATTTGGTCTGAGGTATAACTCCTGCCAATGAGCTGCCTGACTGAGCCACTCCAACAGAAGGTGGAATTTTGACCTTTTATAGCCCTTGGAGGAGCTGGCATAGCAGTCAAAGCCCACAGAGGGGACCCGAACATGCAGGTTCAGTGACATGTAATTAGGGATGGAGTCGGACAACAGTTTCAGAAGACCTCTAGGCATTCACTGCCTGGCACTCACTGTGTTAGAAGCTTAGTTACCTGGTTACCTTTACCCATTGTCATTAGACCCAGACATCCTGGGTCCAGGCTACTTTTAGTTCAGAAGGTGGATCAGTCCCAGAAAGCAGACCCAAGATCTGCTGACCCTTCCTTCTTTCTCCAGCTGTTTCTTGGTTATCCAGTGCCTCAGAGCTGGCCCAGGAAGTGGGCTCCCAGTGGACCAGTCCCGATTCTTTCTCTAGCTTTCCGTAGTTACCTCTGGCCTCATAAACACAGTGTTAAGGGTGATTTCTGGGGTTGCCTACTCAGCCTGGTGGGGCTCTTGTCCCCATATGGGAGCCCCTGCAAAGCACACTCCACCTCCATATCTGTGGGGACCACATCACCCATTCAACCAGCCAGGGATCGGAAATGTAGTACACCTAGGATGAGGACATCTATAGGGACACATACACTGTGTCATTGTCACTTTCCTAAATAGT